GCTCGAGGGTTCGTAGGCCTAACGGCCCGGAATCGAACCCCTGCTGAGGCGAAAACAAACGGGTAGAGTTTCTTTCACCCCGGATGCCCGTGTTCACCAAGCAGTAAATAGGTACCTGGGAGTTAGACAGCTGCCGCGGGCTGCTTCCTAGAGGGGGATGATGTGTGTGTGTGTGGAAATTAGGCATTAAGGACCTGCCCGAAACGCTACTCATGCTAGTGGCTGTAAACGAATACAAGAATACTTGTATTTATAAATAAAATAAATTAGTCCAAAAGTCTACCCCGTTTGCGAATGATGAACAATTAGATTGTAGTGAAAGAAGTCCTGGAGGCACTACCATAAAGGTCACCAACTACCAGGATACTGAACCAGGCACAGCCAGAGGTACAAAAAGCCAGACCGGCCCCCGCCATAGTCTGGTACAGGTCAAACCGGCAGCCGCGACGGTGTTAAGCCCCGACGTACCCATTATTTTAGTACCCCACCCGGGACAAAAACTCGTTTTCTACGCATCTGTCGCCAACAGCTTTACGCCAGCTGCTAGGAACACGGTATAGCAGCTTCTATAGCTCCAACTAGCTTTGAGGCTCAGCTTCTATAGTCCCTCCTAGCTGTGAAGCTCAGCTTCTATAGCCCCTCCTAGCTGTGAGGCTCAGCTTCTATAGCCCCTCCTAGCTGTGAGGCTGGGCTTCTATAGCCCCTCCTAGCTGTGAGGCTAGGCTTCTATAGCCCCTCCTAGCTGTGAGGCTAGGCTTCTATAGCCCCTCCTAGCTGTGAGGCTGGGCTTCTATAGCCCCTCCTAGCTGTGAGGCTCAGCTTCTATAGCCCCTCCTAGCTGTGAGGCTCAGCTTCTATAGCCCCTCCTAGCTGTGAGGCTCAGCTTCTATAGCCCCTCCTAGCTGTGAGGCTCAGCTTCTATAGTCCCTCCTAGCTGTGAGGCTGGGCTTCTATAGTCCCTCCTAGCTGTGAGGCTTCTATAGCCCCTCCTAGCTGTGAGGCTCAGCTTCTATAGTCCCTCCTAGCTGTGAGGCTGGGCGTCTCTAGTCCCTCCTGGCTATAGGCCACCGTCACCCATCCTGTGAGTGGCCACACCGCAATAGGTGTGGAGATATAAGGAGACATACACAGTATTAAGAGGCTAATTCTCTGGTCACTCACAGATGACTGTCACTGGTCACTCACAGGTGACTGTCACTGGTCACTCACAGGTGACTGTCACTGGTCACTCACAGGTGACTGTCACTGGTCACTCACAGGTGACTGTCACTGGCTGGTCACTCACAGATGACTGTCACTGGTCACTCACAGATGACTGTCACTGGTCACTCACAGATGACTGTCACTGGCTGGTCACTCACAGGTGACTGTCCCTGTCTGGTCACTCACAGATGACTGTCACTGTCTGGTCAGCCTGGTCACTAACTGGTGACTCACTGATAACTGTCAGCGACTCGTCACTCACTGATCAATAAGTTGTCGCTGACTGATCACTAAGTTGTCGCTGACTGATCACTAAGTTGTCGCTGACTGATCACTAAGTTGTCGCTGACTGATCACTAAGTTGCCACTGACTGACTAATAGGATAGCAATTGCCCAACTTAATAAATGAAAATAATTTTATTATGAAAAGATACATCATGTGATATCTTGACAAGTCTTAATGCTGCTTGACTAGTCGTAGTTCTGCTTGACAAGTCGTAGTTCTGCTTGACTAGTCGTAGTTCTCCTTGACAAGTCGTAGTTCTCCTTGACTAGTCGTCGTTCTGCTTGACAAGTCGTAGTTCTGCTTGACAAGTCTTAATGCTGCTTGACAAGTCGTAGTTCTGCTTGACAAGTCGTAATTCTGCTTGACAAGTCGTAGTTCTGCTTGACAAGTCTTAATGCTGCTTGACTAGTCGTAGTTCTGCTTGACAAGTCGTAATTCTGCTTGACAAGTCGTAGTTCTGCTTGACAAGTAATTCTGCTTGACAAGTCGTAATTCTGCTTGACAAGTCGTAATTCTGCTTGACAAGTCGTAATTCTGCTTGACAAGTCGTAGTTCTGCTTGACTAGTCGTAGTTCTCCTTGACTAGTCGTAGTTCTGCTTGACAAGTCTTAATGCTGCTTGACAAGTCGTAGTTCTGCTTGACAAGTCGTAGTTCTGCTTGACAAGTCGTAGTTCTGCTTGACAAGCCTTAATGCTGATTGACAAGTCGTAGTTCTGCTTGACTAGTCGTAGTTCTGCTTGAGAAGACTTAATGCTGCTTGACAAGTCGTAGTTCTCCTTGACTAGTCGTAGTTCTGCTTGACTAGTCGTAGTTCTCCTTGACAAGTCGTAGTTCTCCTTGACAAGTCGTAGTTCTGCTTGACTAGTCGTAGTTCTCCTTGACAAGTCGTAGTTCTCCTTGACTAGTCGTAGTTCTGCTTGACTAGTCGTAGTTCTGCTTGACAAGTCTTAATGCTGCTTGACAAGTCGTAGTTCTGCTTGACAAGTCGTAGTTCTGCTTGACTAGTCGTAGTTCTGCTTGACAAGTCGTAGTTCTGCTTGACTAGTCGTAGTTCTCCTTGACAAGTCGTAGTTCTCCTTGACTAGTCGTAGTTCTGCTTGACAAGTCGTAGTTCTGCTTGACAAGTCCTAATGCTGCTTGACAAGTCGTAGTTCTGCTTGACAAGTCTTAATTCTGCTTGACTAGTCGTAGTTCTGCTTGACAAGTGTTAATGCTGCTTGACAAGTCGTAGTTCTGCTTGACTAGTCGTAGTTCTGCTTGACTAGTCGTAGTTCTTCTTGACTAATCGTAGTTCTGCTTGACAAGTCTTAATGCTGCTTGACAAGTCGTAGTTCTGCTTGACAAGTAGTAGTTCTGCTTGACAAGTCGTAGTTCTGCTTGACAAGTCGTAGTTCTGCTTGACAAGTCTTAATGCTGCTTGACAAGTCGTCGTTCTGCTTGACAAGTCGTAGTTCTCCTTGACTAGTCGTAGTTCTGCTTGACAAGTCTTAATGCTGCTTGACAACTCGTAGTTCTGCTTGACAAGTCGTAGTTCTGCTTGACTAGTCGTAGTTCTGCTTGACTAGTCGTAGTTCTGCTTGACAAGTCGTAGTTCTGCTTGACTAGTCGTAGTTCTGCTTGACAAGTCGTAGTTCTCCTTGACTAGTCGTAGTTCTGCTTGACTAGTCGTAGTTCTGCTTGACTAGTCGTAGTTCTGCTTGACTAGTCGTAGTTCTGCTTGACAAGTCTTAATGCTGCATGACAAGTCGTAGTTCTGCTTGACTAGTCGTAGTTCTCCTTGACTAGTCGTAGTTCTGCTTGACTAGTCGTAGTTCGGCTTGACAAGTTTTAATGCTGCTTGACAAGTCGTAGTTCTGCTTGACTAGTCGTAATTCTCCTTGACAAGTCGTAGTTCTCCTTGACTAGTCGTAGTTCTCCTTGACTAGTCGTAGTTCTGCTTGACAAGTCTTAATGCTGCTTGACAAGTCGTAGTTCTGCTTGACAAGTCGTAGTTCTGCTTGACAAGTTGTAGTTCTGCTTGACAAGTCTTAATGCTGATTGACAAGTCGTAGTTCTGCTTGACTAGTCGTAGGTCTCCTTGAGAAGTCATAATGCTGCTTGACAAGTCGTAGTTCTCCGTGACTAGTCGTAGTTCTGCTTGACTAGTCGTAGTTCTGCTTGACAAGTCTTAATGCTGCTTGACAAGTCGTCGTTCTGCTTGACAAGTCGTAGTTCTCCTTGACTAGTCGTAGTTCTGCTTGACTAGTCGTAGTTCTGCTTGACAAGTCTTAATGCTGCTTGACAAGTCGTAGTTCTGCTTGACTAGTCGTAGTTCTCCTTGACAAGTCGTAGTTCTCCTTGACAAGTCGTAGTTCTCCTTGACTAGTCGTCGTTCTGCTTGACAAGTCGTAGTTCTGCTTGACAAGTCTTAATGCTGCTTGACAAGTCGTAGTTCTGCTTGACAAGTCTTAATTCTGCTTGACTAGTCGTAGTTCTGCTTGACAAGTCTTAATGCTGCTTGACAAGTCGTAGTTCTGCTTGACTAGTCGTAGTTCTGCTTGACTAGTCGTAGTTCTTCTTGACTGGTCATAGTTCTGCTTGACAAGTCTTAATGCTGCTTGACAAGTCGTAGTTCTGCTTGACAAGTCGTAGTTCTGCTTGACAAGTCGTAGTTCTGCTTGACAAGTCGTAGTTCTGCTTGACAAGTCTTAATGCTGCTTGACAAGTCGTCTTTCTGCTTAACAAGTCATAGTTCTCCTTGACTAGTCGTAGTTCTGCTTGACTAGTCGTAGTTCTGCTTGACAAGTCTTAATGCTGCTTGACAAGTCGTAGTTCTGCTTGACAAGTCGTGTTTCTCCTTGACTAGTCGTAGTTCTGCTTGACTAGTCGTAGTTCGGCTTGACAAGTCTTAATGCTGCTTGACAAGTCGTAGTTCTGCTTGACTAGTCGTAGTTCTCCTTGACAAGTCGTAGTTCTCCTTGACTAGTCGTAATTCTGCTTGACAAGTCCTAATGCTGCTTGACTCAACCGGAGTTACTGCTTTTTAATAGGTCGACGCGCATCTTGAGAGGTATTGTATTGTATTTAAGAAGGTTGTATGACTTCTTACTGTGACGGATTGTATTGTGTCTTGACTGGACGGATTGTATTGCGTCTTGACTGGACGGGTTGTATTGTGTCTTGACTGGGCGGGTTGTATTGAGTCTTGACTGGACGGGTTGTATTGCGTCTTGACTGGACGGGTTGTATTGCGTCTTGACTGGGCGGGTTGTATTGCGTCTTGACTGGACGGGTTGTATTGCGTCTTGACTGGACGGGTTGTATTGCGTCTTGACTGGACGGGTTGTACTAGACAGTAAAGCAGGTACCGCTGCCAGTGGAGTGATAAGATCAAGGGTAGGGAAAGGATAGGATGCAATAGATAGCACGAAATCTTGCGGTCTTTTCAAACACTATGAGTCTCTCGAGGCACCACGCCGAAGATTGGAGACCTTGATGCATTCTTCGCCGTCTTGTTGTGTGTGTGTGTCACACCTTTGTGATGTCCCCCTGGGCCGCGTCAGGCGTCATGGGGACGGCCCGGCAGCGGGGCTTGCTCCTGTAGGTGCGCATCAGGAGCACGCCAAAGGCCAGCGCCCTGTAGCCCACAGTGAGACCGATGAGCAAGGCGAAGTCGAAGACCAAATTATCTTGGGAGAAGCCAAGGCGCTTGATGACTGCTTCGCCGTCCGCGAAGCAGGTCTTGACCCCCGTGCAGGTGAGGTTGTGTACCCCGTCCCACTGGTTCACCACCAGCAGCTCGTTGCCCAAGCTGAACCACGACAGGTACTCGAAGGCCTTCAGCGGCCACGGCGTTGATCTACACCGAACAGAAAAGGAGAGTTAGAAAGTATGAATAGAAAATACGCCTGAAAGTGACAGAGATTACTTTAAAATGAGCTTCATAATGACTGATTATACATCACAAATCTGCAAGCCATCAAAGGTTTATATGGTCCACCATCACCTATACAAGCCGATTTGTTGTAAGCGTGATGGAGAGAATGTTGATGAAGAGGGCAGCACCTGATGTTGATGAAGAAGCCGCTGAAGATCATCAGTGGGAGGGTGGTGGGGCCCAGGAGAGTGAGGCCCATGTTGACGCTGGTGGAGACGCAGGACAACAGGTAACCTGTAACCCACCAGACAAAACATGACTTGCTCTACCGACCCTTGCAGTCAACGTCAGCACTTGAACACAACATTGTAATACATAGCGTAAGACTTCCCCGTGTACAGAACGTTCCTCTATATGTGAGTGTTCCTCTTTGTCTGACTGAGACAAACAAGGATGGAGGGTTACTGACTGAGACAAACAAGGATGGAGGGTTACTGACTGAGATAAAACAAGGATGGAGGGTTACTGACCGAAGGAGACAGTGCACCAGGAGACGAGGACCGTGACCAGGGAACACAGGAGGAACCGCTCGAGACTTGGGTTGAGACCGATGGGGAAGTAGATGATGGCCGTATAGAAGAAGGCGTAGAGGGTGAAGAAGGGAATCTGCACCAAGTTTTTGGCCAAGAAGTAGACGTCGACGCGGTACATGCCATTGTAGTGCTCCCTCAGGAAGAGTTCCTTCTGCGAGCAGAAGGTCTGCAAGCACAAGGCATCAACCCCAGTTAGACTGACGGTATCTGGTTATGGGACCACCAGACTGATGGTACTGGTGTGCTTTAGCAGGTGGAGACATAGGTGTGAGGGGGAAAAGCAATGCACTAAATATGCAAGGCAATATTCAGTTCATTTATCTACTCAAACAATCACGGAAATAAGTTGTTTGTAACAATATAATATTAACGTAGTTACTGTATTTACAACACTGTAACGGGAAGATGTGAATCATAGGGACTTACATTGACGACAGTGGTGACGTTCTGGAAGGTCATGTTGATGATTATAAGGAAGAGAACGCCGTTGATGTTGAAGACACCAATTTCATTCATCTTCTGACCAAGATACAGCACTCCTATCAGCACCGCCAGGGCCTGCAGCATATCATAATGCTTATTATAGTCTTCCACCACCACTACCACCACCACAACCACCACCATCACAACAGCAACCAGCACTGCCATCATCAACACCGCTTCCACCACCACCGACACTAATAAATCAATTAATGCAATAGAAACTAGAAACAAGAAGAGCCCCCCCCTCCCCGACTGACTATGCAGTTGTGTTCAATGAACACTTAGAAACTTTAGATTAAACAAATGTTTGATCCCAAGTGAGCAAATTAATAGTATTTTAAATCTCCAAGTCCTCATAAAGAGAAATCCGCAAATGCGGAAGAATTTAGTTCAAGAGTTACACTAACAATACTCACCATGAGCTGGAAAAAACGGATTCTGACGAGGTGTGGTTCCCGCAGAACCTCAAGCCAAGCTCGCCACACCAGAGCCTGGAACTGGGCGCACCACGATGCTTTGTAGGGCGAGGTGTCCTTGGGCTCGGTGCGGGTGCTGGAATCCTGGAAAGAGGGGGAATCCGGGAGCAGAATATTAGAATATGTACCCCACGCACGTCCTCTTGTCGGGGGGTTTATAGGGTTTGAGTTACAGAGAGCGTTTAGCAAACCTGTATGTGAGGCGTGTGGTTGTTGAGGACGTCCTGGGTCATGGCCAGGCATAGTTCGCTGGCGTCGAAGACGTCGCAGATCATGGCTATCCTCCTCTGTGAGGACGACACCTTGCCAGGCTCCACAGACAGTTGGTCAATGAAGAAATCCGAGGGATTGAACTGCTCAGGACACCTCAGATTCAAACTAAATAAGACGAAAGTTGGTGAAAACTAGGTGATATGTCATTAGTAAAATTCTTATTATTTATCATTTAATTAATGACCTAATGGCATAGCTTTATAAATTCAACTTCGTTGTCTTAGAAGGTAGTCTTGAAGTATAATATATGACAATGTATAGTCGCCAGTCTAGTCAGCCAGCGTCATATCTTGGTTGAGTTTGATCTTACTTGTTGAAGAACTTGAGAGCCTCGTCAGTGCTGCCAAGGAAGGCGACGCGGCCCTCCGCCATCAACAAGACGCGGTCGAACATGGCGTAGACCTCGGAGCTGGGCTGGTGGATGGTGGAGATGATGGTCTTGCCTCGCTCAGCCATGTTCTTCATCATGGCAACCACGTTCTGGGCCATGAAGGAGTCGAGGCCGGAGGTGGGCTCGTCGCAGAACATGAGTGACGGGTTGGTCAGCACCTGTCATAAGGAACAAGATTGTTAGCACGTGTTATGAGAGGCAAGAGGAGGCGTTTGAGTGTGTCGTGGAGTAGTATGTGTAGCGGACGAGTGTGTGATCACTAACACAGTATGGAGTAACGCACCTCACAGGCGAAGCTGAGTCTCTTCTTCTCCCCGCCAGATATTCTCTTGCTCTCGGAGAAGCCGATGTATGTGTTCTCACACTTGGTCAGGCCCAGCTGCAGAAAACGAGATTTGCTGAGTTTGTGGATCTAAACAACGTCGTATCAGTTCTTGTCTTTGCAGTCACTGCAACCTACCCAGGCTTTACGCCTTGGAGAGGCCACTCTAGACCGATAACCAGAGCACAACTCCATAGTCTCCTGAGACTGATGGATGCCTACTATTATATTTATTACGTGCGCCTTACTCATTCTGTGAACGGCAGTGGGAAAGTTACACACTCACGCAATGGGCGTAGAGAGCACAGTAACTAAGTATTCTAGGACATGTGAAAGCAAACAAAAAAATAAACAAAATCTTAAAATAGCTTAGATTCGTAGTATTTGTGAAGAGTTAATATTAAGGATACAATAGAGTAAGAGCCGCTGCACGATGGCGCCGTCTACGTCGACGTGCTCACCTCCATGATGACTTGGTTCACCCGCCTGACTCGCTCGTCGTACGACAGCTGGTAGTCCATGCGCAGCAGTGCCTGGCAGTACAAGAACATCCTCTGTTAGACCCATTAATGACTACCATTGCAACTGCAAAATATTGAGACTTCTAACATTGTCTATTCACGAACCATTCTCAAATTTTATATATTTTATTTTTGATCGGTAACCTTATGACTTCCGTATTGTCGGGCCAACTACTGACCTTCCCCAGAATGCTGCCCACAACAGCTCTCTAATTCCCGGGCACTTAGGCGAACAGATGCATCAGGTGAAAAGAAACATGCTCAACCGTCTCAGTCCCTCAGATGTGAGAGGACTACATAGACTGTACCTGTAGTGTAGCAGAGGTGGGTGGACACACCTGGAAGATGAGTTGCTCCCTCACAGTGAGGGTGCCGACGAAGAGGTCGTCCTGCTGGACGTAAGCGGAGCGGCTGGTGAGGTCCTCGGGGTCAACACGAGACCCGTTGACGAATATGTCGCCGGTGACGCGCAGCTTGTCGTTGTTGCGGTGCGTGAGGACGTTGAGGAGCGTCGTCTTGCCGGCCCCCGACGCCCCCATGATGGCCAGCAGCTCCCCGGGGCGGCAGATCCCGGTCACTGCAACATGGTAGACTCAAATGGGAGCTGCTGCAAGTTATATTTCTGGCTGATCCAAGCCGGAAATATGTGTAATATCGCAGGAGCACACACACGCGCGCTGGGTAAAACTGTGTTGCGTTACAGTTAGTAATGTTGTTGAAGACCTGGGAGAGTGTACACCTTGTGTCTCCTCTCCTGCACACTTGGAGTACTTTATGTGTGTGTACTTTGTGCAGCATCCACCTGTACTTTATTCTCCCGTGTTAAAATAACTTGATCCAGGATGTGAGAGTTTGGCAGACACGGCTAATTGTTGCTTTGGTTCAAGTGTCACCTTGCTCCCACAGTGTCACCTTGTGTTACGAACCCAAGTTAATCATCACAGCATGGAGCAGTGACATCAACGCCATCTGTGAGTCCGCTCCCGAAACCCCCCACAACATGGACGACGCCATCTAGGGGCGACAGGAATATACCGGCAAGAGACGATAGATTCCTGTTCTAGTCAGCTCGTGAGGTAGCTGGTGCTGACCTCTAGTGAGGTGATGTTTAGAAAAGCAGCGCCATCTATCATAAGCGGAGTTGGATGTATGTGTCTAAGCCAGTAAGTGATGTTTCCCAGTGGTCCCATGTAGTGTCCCAGTGTACTGATGACGTGTCTGTATTCACAGAGTCGACGTAGGGCTGCTGTGATGTAAGGACAGGCAGTCTACCCAGGGCAGCCAAGGTCTCTACACCAGACTGCTTTAAGGAAGCAGTGAGCCGCCGCCAGAAGAGAACTGAAGTGTTCTACTGTCCACCTGTGGAGTGGCAGTGACGGGATTCGCCATACCCGGGGCTGGCTAGTAGAAGAGACAACTGACTGTGGTGCCGAAGAGGAGAGTAACCAGCGAGTTGCACGAAGCTCCTGCCTAGGGCTCAATACCCTAGTATCTGCAAGTGAAGTGGCCCAGCAGCGCGAAGCTGATTGGTACCTGCCAGCAACAGGCTGGTCTGTGGTTGTGGGCCTTCACGAAGAGGCACTTAGTGGGATTGTGGCTTGGCTGGCCCGTGGCCAGTGTAGACTCATTGTTGTTTCCCGGTACCCACTGAGAGAAGTACCACGGATGAGAAAACACGGTACAAGACTGCATCGATTGAGCTTCGCCGAGTGTTTAGTGTCTTCTGAGAGAGACGTTGGTGTACATATAGTGTAGTAATACTTCCTTTTAAGAGTTTTATATATATATATATATGTATATATATATATATATGTATATATATATATATATATATATATATATATATATATATATATATATATATGGATAAAGTGATGAACTGTTGTATTTAATGTACCTCCCCCTTTTGTTTTACTTGCATTACTGCGCTCACCCCTTGAAAGCCTCTACTAACTTGGGGCCAGATACCAGAACTTTAGTACCATCAGAAAAGAACCCAGTTGCGACGCATTGTGGTCGTAACACCTTGCCTCAGAGTGTCACCTTGCTCCCACAGTGTCACCTTGCTCCCACAGTGTCACCTTGCTCCCACAGTGTCACCTAGCCCCCACAGTGTCACCTAGCCCCCACAGTCACCTAGCCCCCACTGTGTCACCTTGCCCGCACAGTGTCACCTTGCCCCCACAGTGTCACCTAGCCCCCACAGTGTCACCTTGCCTGCACAGTGTCACCTTGCCCCCACAGTGTCACCTTGCTCCCACAGTGTCACCTGGCCCCACAGTGTCACCTGGCCCCACAGTGTCACCTGGCCCCCACAGTGTCACCTTGCCCCACAGTGTCACCTTGCCCCACAGTGTCACCTTGCCCCCACAGTGTCACCTTGCCCCACAGTGTCACCTTGCCCCCACAGTGTCACCTTGCCCCCACAGTGTCACCTGGCCCCCACAGTGTCACCTTGCCCCCCACAGTGTCACCTTGCCCCCCACAGTGTCACCTTGCTCTCACAGTGTCACCTTGCCCCCCACACTGTCACCTTGCCCCACAGTGTCACCTTGCCCCCCACAGTGTCACCTTGCTCTCACAGTGTCACCTTGCCCCCCACAGTGTCACCTTGCCCCACAGTGTCACCTTGCCCCACAGTGTCACCTTCCCCCACAGTGTCACCTTGCCCCCACAGTGTATTCACCTCTACTGAACAGTGTCAGGAATCATCAATCACTTAAGTGCTCACTAACGAAACCTCTACATCTTGCCTTCATCATGGCGGCTTTGTTTATATATAATAAACAGTTATCGAGCCAGGCAGCGCTGGGAGGTCGTCCTCGAACCGGGTTATTATCGTTATGGACAACCTCCTGAGAGAGGCATCATCCACCCTCCCTCCTGAGAGAGGCAGCATCCACCCTCCCTCCTGAGAGAGGCAGCATCCACCCTCCCTCCTGAGAGAGGCAGCATCCACCCTCCCTCCTGAGAGAGGCATCATCCACCCTCCCTCCTAAGAGAGGCATCATCCACCCTCCCTCCTGAGAGAGGCATCATCCACCCTCCCTCCTGAGAGAGGCATCATCCACCCTCCCTCCTGAGAGAGGCATCATCCACCCTCCCTCCTGAGAGAGGCAGCATCCACCCTCCCTCCTGAGAGAGGCATCATCCACCCTCCCTCCTGAGAGAGGCATCATCCACCCTCCCTCCTGAGAGAGGCATCATCCACCCTCCCTCCTGAGAGAGGCAGAATCCACCCTCCCTCCTAAGAGAGGCATCATCCACCCTCTCTCCTAAGAGAGGCATCATCCACCCTCCCTCCTAAGAGAGAGGCATCATCCACCCTCCCTCCTAAGAGAGGCATCATCCACCCTCCCTCCTAAGAGAGGCATCATCCACCCTCCCTCCTAAGAGAGAGGCATCATCCACCCTCCCTCCTAAGAGAGAGGCATCATCCACCCTCCCTCCTAAGAGAGGCATCATCCACCCTCCCTCCTAAGAGAGAGGCATCATCCACCCTCCCTCCTAAGAGAGGCATCATCCACCCTCCCTCCTAAGAGAGGCATCATCCACCCTCCCTCCTAAGAGAGAGGCATCATCCACCCTCCCTCCTAAGAGAGGCATCATCCACCCTCCCTCCTAAGAGAGGCATCATCCACCCTCCCTCCTAAGAGAGAGGCATCATCCACCCTCCCTCACCCAACACTGGTAGGTCGGTACTCACCATTCTTGAGGATGTGGACTTGTGAGGCGGCGTTGCGACTGGTGGAGGATGTAGGAGGCCCCTGACACCTGCGAGGCAGCACCCCGGCGCTGATGAAGACGTTGACGGCGTCCCAGGTGTAGGTGATGGGGTCCGGGGCCCCCGTCATCACCAGGGACCCGTCACTGGTGCTGCTGGACGGCACCTGTCCCCCCTCGCTCACCTGCGGGGCACCTCTGAGTAATTAACCTTCCCACACTAGCGGATTGGGGGAGGTGATTATCTGGAGAAAGAGCTAAGCCAGTGTGACTATTCAGCACCTGGATGGGTGAAGACAGCCTTAAGAGCCAGGGTGAAGACAGCCTTAAGAGCCAGGGTGAAGACAGCCTTATGAGCCAGGGTGAAGACAGCCTTAAGAGCCAGGGTAAAGACAACCTTAAGAGCCAGGGTGAAGACAGCCTTAAGAGCCAGGGTGAAGACAGCCTTAAGAGCCAGGGTGAAGACAGCCATAAGAGCCAGGGTGAAGACAGCCTTAAGAGCCAGGGTGAAGACAGCCTTATGAGCCAGGGTGAAGACAGCCTTAAGAGCCAGGGTGAAGACAGCCTTAAGAGCCAAGGTGAAGACAGCCTTAAGAGCCAGGGTGAAGACAGCCTTAAGAGCCAAGGTGAAGACAGCCTTAAGAGCCAGGGTGAAGACAGCCTTAAGAGCCAAAGTGAAGACAGCCTTAAGAGCCAAGGTGAAGACAGCCTTAAGAGCCAGGGTGAAGACAGCCTTAAGAGCCAAGGTGAAGACAGCCTTAAGAGCCAGGGTGAAGACAGCCTTAAGAGCCTGGGTGAAGGCAGCCATAAGAGCCTGGGTGAAGACAGCCTTAAGAGCCAGGGTGAAGACAGCCTTAAGAGCCAGGGTGAAGACAGCCTTAAGAGCCAGGGTGAAGACAGCCTTAAGAGCCAGGGTGAAGACAGCCATAAGAGCCAGGGTGAAGACAGCGTTAAGAACCAGGGTGAAGACAGCCATAAGAGCAAGGGTGAAGACAGCCTTAAGAGCCAGGGTGAAGACAGCCATAAGAGCCAGGGTGAAGACAGCCATAAGAGCCAGGGTGAAGACAGCCTTAAGAGCCAGGGTGAAGACAGCCATAAGAGCCAGGGTGAAGACAGCGTTAAGAACCAGGGTGAAGACAGCCATAAGAGCAAGGGGTGAAGACAGCCTTAAGAGCCAGGGTGAAGACAGCCATAAGAGCCAGGGTGAAGACAGCCATAAGAGCCAGGGTGAAGACAGCCTTAAGAGCCAGGGTGAAGACAATCTTAAGAGCCAGGGTGAAGACAGCCTTAAGAGCCAGGGTGAAGACAGCCATAAGAGCCAGGGTGAAGACAGCCATAAGAGCCAGGGTGAAGACAGCCTTAAGAGCCAGGGTGAAGACAGCCTTAAGAGCCAGGGTGAAGACAGGGGACCTCTGGGGACCTCTGTCATCACTATCTGGGGGATCACAGTCATCACTATCCTGGGGACCACTGTCATCACTATCCTGGGGACACACACGGACCCCCAGCAGGTGTTGGATGATAGTGTCACACACACACGGACCTCCAGCAGGTGTTGGATGATAGTGTCACACACACACGGACCTCCAGCATGTGTTGGATGATAGTGTCACACACACACCGACCCCCAGCAGGTGTTGGATGATACTGACACACACACCGACCCCCAGCAGGTGTTGGATGATACTGACACACACACCGACCCCCAGCAGGTGTTGGATGATAGTGTCACACACACACCGACCCCCAGCAGGTGTTGGATGATACTGACACACACACCGACCCCCAGCAGGTGTTGGATGATAGTGACACACACGGACCCCCAGCAGGTGTTGGATGATAGTGACACACACACCGACCCCCAGCAGGTGTTGGATGATAGTGACACACACACACCGACCCCCAGCAGGTGTTGGATGATACTGACACACACACCGACCCCCAGCAGGTGTTGGATGATAGTGTCACACACACACGGACCCCCAGCAGGTGTTGGATGATAGTGACACACACACGGACCCCCAGCAGGTGTTGGATGATAGTGACACACACGGACCCCCAGCAGGTGTTGGATGATACTGACACACACACCGACCCCCAGCAGGTGTTGGATGATACTGACACACACACCGACCCCCAGCAGGTGTTGGATGATAGTGACACACACACACCGACCCCCAGCAGGTGTTGGATGATACTGACACACACACCGACCCCCAGCAGGTGTTGGATGATAGTGTCACACACACACGGACCCCCAGCAGGTGTTGGATGATAGTGACACACACACGGACCCCCAGCAGGTGTTGGATGATAGTGACACACACGGACCCCCAGCAGGTGTTGGATGATACTGACACACACACCGACCCCCAGCAGGTGTTGGATGATACTGACACACACACCGACCCCCAGCAGGTGTTGGATGACAGTGACACACACACACCGACCCCCAGCAGGTGTTGGATGATACTGACACACACACCGACCCCCAGCAGGTGTTGGATGATACTGACACACACACACGGACCCCCAGCAGGTGTTGGATGATAGTGTCACACACACACGGACCCCAGCAGGTGTTGGATGATAGTGACACACACACGGACCCCCAGCAGGTGTTGGATGATACTGACACACACACCGACCCCCAGCAGGAGTTGGATGATAGTGACACACACACACCGACCCCTAGCAGGTGTTGGATGATACTGACACACACACCGACCCCCAGCAGGTGTTGGATGATAGTGACACACACAACCCCGACCCCCCAGCAGGTGGTGGATGATAGTGACACACACACACCGACCCCCAGCAGGTGTTGGATGATACTGACACACACACCTACCCCCAGCAGGTGTTGGATGATACTGACACACACACCGACCCTCAGCAGGTGTTGGATGATAGTGACACACACACACCGACCCCCAGCAGGTGTTGGATGATACTGACACACACACCGACCCCCAGCAGGTGTTGGATGATAGTGTCACACACACACGGACCCCCAGCAGGTGTTGGATGATAGTGACACACACACGGACCCCCAGCAGGTGTTGGATGATACTGACACACACACCGACCCCCAGCAGGTGTTGGATGATACTAACACACACACCGACCCCCAGCAGGTGTTGGATGATACTGACACACACACCGACCCCCAGCAGGTGTTGGATGATAGTGACACACACACCGACCCCCAGCAGGTGTTGGATGACACTGACACACTCACCGACGCCAGCAGGTGTTAGAGGATAGTTACACACACACGGACCCCCAGCAGGTGTTGGATGATAGTGACACACACACACCGACCCCCAGCAGGTGTTGGATGATAGTGACACACACACACCGACCCCCAGCAGGTGTTGGATGATACTGACACACTCACCGACGCCAGCAGGTGTTAGAGGATAGTTACACACACACGGACCCCCAGCAGGTGTTGGATGATAGTGACACACACACCGACCCCCAGCAGGTGTTGGATGATAGTGACACACACACACCGACCCCCAGCAGGTGTTGGATGATAGTGTCACACTCACCGACGCCAGCAGGTGTTGATTCCATGACTGCTGGCAGGTTTTGGACCTGAGGAGGTCTGTGAGGAGAGCGTTGGCCATCAGTGTGGTGGTGGTGGGCGACGCTGCTGGCACCAGCTCCCAGCACGACTGACCACTCCGGCCTCCTGGGACCACCTCCCAGATCACCTCCACACTCTTGGTGGCCAAAATTGAGTGGGGAGGATTCTGGACCACGGGGAGCGAGAGAGAGAGAGAGAGAGAGAGAGAGAGAGAGAGAGAGAGAGAGAGAGAGAGAGAGAGAGAGAGAGAGAGAGAGAGAGAGAGAGAGAGAGAGAGAGAGAGAGAGAGAGAGAGGAGGGAAGGAGAGAGAGAGAGAGAGGGGGAGAGAGAGAGAGAGAGGGAGGGAGAGAGGGAGAGAGGGGGGAGAGGAGATAGAGAGGGGGAGAGAGGAGAGAGAGATAGGAGAGAGAGAGAGAGAGAGAGAGAGAGAGAGAGAGAGAGAGAGAGAGTCCTTGAAGGTAAGGTCAGACCATATAAGGATAACAGGTATATATATAAGCCATTGTGTTATATAATGGTGTGGGGTGTGGGGCAGTGTAGCACATAGTTTAACTCCGCCCACCATGCCCGCCCCCACCACCCGTGTGCCCCGCCCACTCTCCCCCACCACACAGGCCTAAGCTTCCATCCAAGCCAGCTTAATAATAAGCTTATGCTAGCTGGCTCCAAACCCACCTACAGAAAGCTGCAACCCTCCCACCCATCTAAGCTGAACCTCCACAACACACACAGCTAGAATGAGAGCCAAACCCTGAATGTTCGTCAGGTCACCATAATTGTCTCACTTCATTAACTCCACAGGAACATAAAATGTGGTGTTGAGAGGTACTGCGGCGCCACCTGGAACGTCTATCAACATTTGGCATTCACATGATCAAGTCTCCACTTACAGTGGCGCCTGTTGAAGCTCCTCGACGCTTTCAACTTCCTAAAGTTACCTACTACCTAAAATTTCTTCTCGTTTACTGGAGCAAACCTTGCCGATAACTTCATTTACCACATGTAAATGACTACCTCACCGACAAGTGTTCACTGCATCTGTCCCCAACCGCCTCCACCAACTTTATGGTTTGCTGGCTTTAGATCAGAGTAGTCAACCACGCTCAGATACTCACCTAGTTGTATTCACCTCGTTGTGCTTGCGGGGGTTGAGCTTTGGCTCTTTGGTCCCGCCTCTCAACTGTCAATCAACTGGTGTACAGGTTCCTGAGCCTACTGGGCTCTGTCATATCTACATTTGAAACTGTGTATGGAGTCAGCCTCCACCACATCACTGCCTAATGCATTCCACCTGTTAACTACTCTGAAAAAATTATTTCTAACGTCTCTGTTGGTACTCAGTTTCCACCTGTGTCCCCTTGTTCGTGTCCCACCCGTGCTGAAGAGTTTGTCTTTGTCCACCCTGTCAATTCCCATGAGAATTTTGTAGGTGGTTATCATGTCTCCCCTTACTCTTTTGTTTTGTAGGTGGTACTAACGCTGTAATGCATAAGAAGTTTCAGATGTACTGGCTCCAACCTTTCACGATATTGAAATGGAACTGAAATTTAAATTCTTTATTCCTATATGTTTGCACATTTATTGCTGGGTTAATTTACACATTTTTACAGTAAACAGTTTCCCTAAGAGGTTATCTTGAGTTGATTTAGGGGCTTTTTAGTGTCCAGCGGCCCGGTCCTCGACCAGGCCTCCACCCCCAGGAAGCAGCTCGTGACAGCTGACTAACTCCCAGGTACCTATTTACTGCTAGGTAACAGGGGCATCAGGGTGAAAGAACCTCTGCCCATCGTTTCCCACCGGCGCCTGAGATCGAACCCGAAACCACAGGAGGTGGTTTTTTTAAACTTCAATGGAAAGGCAAACGCCAATACGATTGATTCCAGCGCCGTCGCAGGAGCTGTGAGCTCCGGAGTTGACCTCGGAGTTGGTGAAAGAAGGCACAGGGACTCCACACCCTGGAGACCGCCGTGGTCGGGGCCGGAGAACCACCACTCCAGCAAGGGCAAGAACGACCCCAGCCTCCTGAAGCAGAGCCTGGGGCCGAATGAGCCCCGGGAGGACGACGTCCCGGTCCCGCACCTACGGGTTCCAGACAGAGATCGTCACATCCCTCTTTCACCCGAGGCCGGCTTGCCAGCTTCCTTCATGACCCAGCAGAAGGAAGAGTAATAATTATTAATTATATCATTATTATAAAGGGGGGGGGGTACCACCTCTGGTGCAATTATAGGGACCCACAGCCTCAAAGAAGGGAACACAGAGCATTCAGAGAAAAACTTGCCATTTAACTCTCAATACGTATGAGTGTTCACTTCTCCTACCACTCCCTTTTTATGGCATACACTTTATTATGCAAGGTTATACAGTTACATATCTAATTTTATACAAAAAATGAACATTGAGAGGACACAAGAAAAAAGTTTGCTTCCTAGAGGCTGTAGATTTCCTCGAACTCCTCCGACGCCGGGCAGGAACCGAAGACGCAGCGGGCATTCCCCCTATGGTTGCCAACGGCCATACCACGTTGAGAATATCGCTTCTCGTCCGATCAGCGAAGTTGATCGGACGAGTGGGGGTCCTGTATTCCTGCTACATCACTCAGGGTGTCAGGTAAAATTTCCTTAACCAGGTCATCTGATGCTGAGGAGGAAGACAGGAAGGCTGGGACAGCAATTTGGGTGACGGTGCGGACACCCAAGCCACCGAGCCTGACAGAAAGAGTGGCTTGTATCCACTGGCATTCGTTGAGGGAGAGGTTAACAACTTTTTCTAGCATGGTTTTCAATAAGAGGTCATACTCTTCAAGGTTATACTCTTCGGCTGTCATTATTATAATAATTTGTATAATATAATTGTTGTATTTGATAAAATTATCACTTCCTTCTGCGTGGTCCACACTCCCCACCACCTCCCTGGGCTCGTGCGGCCCCCCAGGCTCTGCTTCAGGAGGCTGGGGTCGTTCTTGCCCTTGATGGGGTGGTTCTCCGGCCCCGACCACGGCGGTCTCCAGGGTGTGGAGTCCCTGTGCCTTGTTCCACCAACTTCGAGGTTGGTGAAAGACCTTTATATAAATAATATATACCATTATTATTATTACTGAGAAAATCCGAAGGAGCTGTGTGCTTATCTCGGCTCCTACGGAATTTCTCATTGATACATCACGTCAGTGTTATTACTATGTGTAATATTATTATTACACTACTTGAGAAGATGCATACAGAGGGCGGGGAGTTGGGGGGGGGGGGAAGGGGGTTATAGGGGATCCTCCAGGTGGGTGGAGGTGGGGAGCAGTATAGAGAGCCACGTACAGCTGGCGCCTTCCTGTCCCCCCCTCCACACTCCCTGCCACACCCTCACCACACTCCCCACCACACCCCCACCACACTCCCCACCACACTCCCCACCACACCCCCACCACACTCCCCACCACACCCCCACCACACTCCCCACCACACCCCCACCACACACTCCCTACCACACCACACAAGAGTCGGGCGCAGCAGCCATCCTCAGCTGCTTTGGATGTTAAAGTGATGACCTGTACCTCTTATGAGGTAGTCGTAGGGTGGGGGGTGGGAGGAGTAGTCGTGGTAAACTGTTGATGTTAGTAGTCAACAGCCTGGTTGACCAGTCCAGCCACGAGGAGGCCTGGTCGACGACCGGGCCGCGGGGACGCCAAGCTCCGAAATCATCTCAAGGTAACCTGAAGGTAGTATCGTCACGCAGTATGTTTGGTATAGAGGAAGGACCTTAGCGTATCCAGTACTTATCCAACTAGACCACACTAACTGTTCAAAAGGATTGGAAGTCGTCAGACCTTAACCCAATCCCCGACAGCACTCGGTGGTCTGGTGTTTGGGGCAAATATTTCATCGAATCACCTCGCATGTTGAGGCCTCGTGAGTAACACAAGTGTGAACAAGCTTGAATGGTCCCCAAGCCAATATGCAATACTCCTCGCCCTTGAAGGATTCGAACCCAGACAGCCTTCACTTACCCTTAGCCACGTTTCCTAACTTTCACCACCTTCCCTACCATTCACCACCTTCCCTACTCTTCACCACCTTCCCTACCCTTCACCACCTTCCCTACCCTTCACCACCTTCCCTACCCTTCACCACCTTCCCTACCCTTCACCACCTTCCCTACCCTTCACCACCTTCCCTACCCTTCACCACCTTCCCTACCCTTCACCACCTTCCCTACCCTTCACCACCTTCCCTACCCTTCACCACCTTCCCTACCATTCACCACCTTCCCTACCCTTCACCACCTTCCCTACCCTTCACCACCTTCCCTACCCTTCACCACCTTCCCTACCCTTCACCACCTTCCCTACCCCTCCACCACCTTCCCTACCCTTCACCACCTTCCCTACCCTTCACCTTTCTAACTATTTGCACTTAACGCCGTCTTCGTCAATAAATATACAACATAAGTATAGCTAACATTTAATCATTATATAGAAATTAATATGCAGGATGAATCTTAGTAAGGTAAATGGAGTCCGGTATTTAGTAAGATGGGAAATGAGTGTAATGGTCACCATTCCTCCCCCCCCCCGTCCCATCCTAAATCCTTATCCTGATCCTATTCAAGTGCTATATAGACTTAATTGTTTGACGCTTTCTCCTCATAGTTCCCTTCCCCTTCGATTATTTTTATGTTACCGTATTTATTAGTGACCATTGACGCCCTCGCTGTGTCGGGGCCGGATCATTTATAGCTTAATCAACTGAGGCTGGACTTCAGGTGGACCAGTTAACTTGTATATATTACATAAGAAACGTATGGTGAATGAAACACTTGAAGTAGAGAACACATTTACTAGTGAGGATCACACACACACACAGGCCCATCACCGCCAGTCTGTTTAGTGATGTAAGTGGCGGCGAGGGCCACCCCCCAGCCACTGGCAGCAGCCTCTGCTCTATCATGATTTGTGACGCAGTCTGCTCCAGCCTAAACAGGTTGTGCCGAGAACAGGTAGACCTGGTGTTCCTCCTTGCAAGGAGCTGTGGCGGTGTTGTTGAGGCACAGACCAGGGTGATGACGTGGACGTTACTGAGAGCTGAGTGAAGTGGGACGTTACTGAGAGCTGAGTGAAGTGGAACGTTACTGAGAGCAGGGCCATATGGGACGTTACTGAGGACGCTTCCACGCCAGCAGCCAGGAAATGCTGGCGGGGATGTAACCTGAGAGCTGCCTACTGCTTCCTGTACGTCTTGGCGAGCAGGGCGAAGAAGGCCACGGTCCTGTACGCCACGCTGAGGATGAGAAGGCAGAAGACGTCGTAGATGATGCTGCCGTTCTCGTAGTGGAGGAAGGAGAGGACCGCCAAGCCGTTGGGGAAACAGGTCTGGTTCTTGTTGCAGGCGATGTTCTCCACCTCCTTCCACTGGTTCACCAGCAGGGCTTCGTTGCCATAGCTGAACCACGACAAGTACTTCATCCATGTCAGGTAAGAGGGCGTCGACCTGTTCACCAGAAACAATGTAAATAAATACATCAATGAATAAATATACTGTATACATGTCATTCACTTAGATCATAGAAGCCTCGACCCTCCGACCCCCAGAACGGAAGACGGTAGCTCCATCAACAACGCTTTGAAGAGCCACAATAAGGAAGGATTCCCGAAGCAACTCACTACTGCCCAACCGGAACATTAAGCCTTCACTGGGCTGTGACTCAAGCATGGAGGAGGTTCCAGTCTCCTAGGGCCCAAGTGAATGAAATATTATTACCCACGTTTATTGTGTTTGACAATTTACCTACTGCGGGCTCTACCCACTGAGCCACCAGCACTCCTTCATAAGGAAGGATTTCAGAGACAACTATCTGTTGTCCAACGTGGACTTTACACCTTCCACTTTGGCATGAAGGTGTAAGTCATGTGTGACAAGGGCGTGGATCACACCCATGATTCACTCACCCACTGTTGTGGGTGAACACCAACACTCACCCACTGTTGTGGGTGAACTGAACACCAACACTCACCCACTGTTGTGGGTGAACACCAACACTCACCCACTGTTGTGGGAGAACACCAATACTCACCCACTGTTGTGGGAGAACACCAACACTCACCCACTGTTGTGGGTGAACACCAACACTCACCCACTGTTGTGGGAGAACACCAACACTCACCCACTGTTGTGGGAGAACACCAACACTCACCCACTGTTGTGGGTGAACACCAACACTCACCCACTGTTGTGGGAGAACACCAACACTCACCCACTGTTGTGGGAGAACACCAACACTCACCCACTGTTGTGGGTGAACACCAACACTCACCCACTGTTGTGGGTGAACACCAACACTCACCCACTGTTGTGGGAGAACACCAACACTCACCCACTGTTGTGGGTGAACACCAACACTCACCCACTGTTGTGGGTGAACACCAACACTCACCCACTGTTGTGGGAGAACACCAACACTCACCCACTGTTGTGGGTGAACACCAACACTCACCCACTGTTGTGGGAGAACACCAACACTCACCCACTGTTGTGGGAGAACACCAACACCCACCCACTGTTGAGGGAGAACACCAACACTCACCCACTGTTGAGGGAGAACACCAACACTCACCCACTGTTGAGGGAGAACACCAACACTCACCCACTGTTGAGGGAGAACACCAACACCCACCCACTGTTGTGGGAGAACACCAACACTCACCCACTGTTGTGGGAGAACACCAACACCCACCCACTGTTGAGGGAGAACACCAACACTCACCCACTGTTGTGGGAGAACACCAACACTCACCCACTGTTGAGGGAGAACACCAACACTCACCCACTGTTGAGGGAGAACACCAACACTCATCCACTGTTGTGGGAGAACACCAACACTCACCCACTGTTGAGGGAAAACACCAGTACTCACCCACTGTTGAGGGAGAACACCAACACTCACCCACTGTTGAGGGAGAGCACCAACACTCACCCACTGTTGAGGGAAAACACCAGTACTCATCCACTGTTGAGGGAGAACACCAACACTCACCCACTGTTGAGGAAGAACACCAACACTCATCCACTGTTGAGGGAGAACACCAACACTCATCCACTGTTGAGGGAGAACACCAACACTCACCCACTGTTGAGGAAGAAGCCGCCAAACAGCATGAGGGGGATGATGAACGGGGCGGAGATGGCCAGCGCCACGCTCAGATTCTTGGCCATACAGGAGATCATGTAACCTGCGGAGGAGACACCTTCACTACACTCATTGTCCTCAACCTTCCTCCTCCACCAACCCGTTCTCGCAAATTTAATAAGTCAATATTGACTTATTAAATATGTGCATAGGTGACATACTTAACATAATAGTTTCCCTTGAAAAGCTTCAAAGAAAACACCGACCTTACCTAACCTACTTAGTATATAAGAACAATTTATTGATATATTTTAGTTTTGTTTTATTTGTTTTATAAAACTGTACAAAGGTAACTGCAGAAGGCCTATTGGCCCATACGAGGCAGCTCCTATCTATAACCACCCAATCCCACTCATATACATGTCCAACCCGCGCTTGAAACAATCGAGGGACCCCACCTCCACCACGTTACGCGGTAATTGGTTCCACAAATCAACAACCCTGTTACCGAACCAGTATTTACCCAAGTCTTTCCTAAATCTAAACTTATCCAATTTATACCCATTGTTTCGTGTTCTGTCTTGTGTTGATACTTTTAATACCCTATTAATATCCCCTTTGTTATGTCCATTCATCCACTTGTAAACCTCTATCATGTCACCCCTAACTCTTCGCCTTTCCAGTGAATGCAATTTAAGCTTTGTTAATCTTTCTTCATATGAAAGATTTCTAATTTGGGGAATTAACTTAGTCATCCTACGCTGGACACGTTCAAGTGAATTTATATCCATTCTATAGTACGGCGACCAAAACTGAACTGCATAATCTAAATGGGGCCTAACCAGAGCAAGATATAGCTGAAGAACCACACCAGGTGTCTTGTTACTAACGCTTCGATTAATAAATCCCAGTGTCCTATTTGCCTTATTACGAACATTCATGCATTGATCCTTTTGTTTTAAATTCTTACTAATCATAACTCCCAGATCCCTTTCGCAATCCGACTTCGCAATCTCAACACCATCTAGCTCGTATCTTGTAACTCTATCATCATTACCTAGCCTCAGAACTTTACATTTATCAGCATTAAACTGCATCTGCCAATCTTTTGACCATTTCAAAACCCTATTTAGATCAACTTGAAGTGATAGTGAGTCTTCTTCCGTGTTAATTTCCCTACCGATTTTTGTATCATCGGCAAATTTGCAGATGTTGCTACTCAAACCTGAATCTAAATCATTTATATATATTATAAACAACAGAGGTCCCAGGACAGAGCCTTGAGGCACTCCACTAACAACATTATCCCACTCTGACTTAACCCCATTTATACTAACTCTCTGTTTCCTTTGGAATAGCCATGCCCTAATCCAACTTAATATAGCACCCCCAATACCATGAGCCTCTATTTTTTTAATCAGTCTTTCATGTGGCACTGTATCAAAAGCTTTGCTAAAGTCAAGGTACACAACATCACAATCCTTACCACTATCAACTGCCTCAACTATGCTGGAATAAAAAGATAGCAAATTTGTTAAACATGAACGGCCATTTGTAAAACCATGTTGCGACTCATTTATTAATTTATGTTTTTCAAGATGAAGACGAATTGTATTTGCAATTATCGATTCAAGTAACTTTCCCACAATAGACGTTAGGCTAATTGGCCGATAGTTTGACGCAAGTGATCTATCTCCTTTCTTAAAAATTGGTTCCACATTAGCTACCTTCCATGACTCTGGCACTCTGCCTAACTCTATTGATTTATTAAATATGGTAGACAGTGGCTCGGAAAGTTCCTCTTTGCATTCTTTAAGCACCCTGGCAAACACTTCATCCGGCCCTGGGGATTTGTTTGGTTTTAGTTTTACTATTTGTTTAATTACATCCTCCCTGGTAACTGCTAAACTAGTCAACCTGTCCTCGTCCCCACCCACATAGACTTGTTCGGCTGAAGGCATATTGTTAAATTCCTCTTTAGTAAATACAGATATAAAATATTTATTAAAAATACTACTCATCTCCTCGTCATTATCCGTTATTTGACCTGTCTCAGTTTTTAATGGAACTATCCTTTCCCTAGTCTTAGTTCGATATAACTAAAAAAAAACTTTAGGATTTGTCTTCGCATGCCCTGCAATGCGAACCTCATAGTTTCTTTTTGATTTCCTTATATCTTTTTCAACTTTTCTAACCAGTTGTACGAATTCTTGTTTTAAACTGCCTTCCCCATTCTTAATCTTTTTGTACCACGCTCTCTTTTTTACGTATAAGGTTCTTTAAATCCTTTGTTATTCATTTTGGGTCATTAGTATTCGATCTATGCAATTTGTATGGTATACTACGTTCCTGTGCTTTGCTTAGAATATTCTTAAATAAGTTATATTTTGAATCCACATCGAAATCCCCTTTTACGTCACCTGTCGCTGGGTTCATGTCTAGCTCCACACCCCCACCCCCCCAAGACATTCCAATCTATTTGACCCCAAAAATTTCTTAGGCTATTGAAATCAGCTTTTCGAAAATCAGGCACTTTAACAGAATTTTCTCCTATAGATCTATTCCATTCTATGCTAAATCTGATTTCTTTATGATCACTGTTCCCTAGCTCACTCCCTATTTCGATGTCCTTAATTTGTGTTTCCCTGTTAGTTAACACTAAATCTAAAATATTATTTCCCCGCGTTGGTTCCTTAATATGTTGCGTAAGAAAGCAATCGTCAATTAATTCTAGAAAATCTTCTGCTTCATTATTCCCTGTTTTGTTCACCCAGTTTATTCCACTAAAATTAAAGTCACCCATGACATAAATACTGTTAGATCTAGATGCTCTAGATATTTCATCCCATAGATGCTTTGCTTCCATTCTGTTTAAATTTGGTGGCCTATATATAACTCCTATTATAATATTATTTGCTTTTTCGTTTAATTCTATCCAAATAGTTTCTGTGTGTGGCTCAGTTTTGATTCCCTCTTTGAGACTACATTTCAAATTGTCCCTAACATATATGGCTACTCCCCCTCCTCGTCTAATATATCTATCTGTGTGAAATAGTTTAAATCCATTTATTTGATATTCAGCTAATAGTTCTCTATTTTCTACATTCATCCACGTTTCGGTAAGTGCAATAATATCTATTTTTTTCTGTACAGACAAGAGCATTTAACTCGTTTATTTTGTTTCTTAGACTTCTACTGTTAGTGTAATATACCCTAAGTGAATTGTTATTTTGAGGCCCTTCTCTTTCCCTGATCATTTTGCCAATTTGTTTCTCCAACAAACACATACTTTTATTACCTCCTTCCTCCCTATCAATTCCCATACCACTATCTACTAACAGTTTAAACCCAAACAAATGCCTCTAACCACTGGTTCCAACGAGTTCGCAACAGCAACAACCCCAGCCCTCGATAGATGCACCCCATCACGAGCATACATTTCATTTCTTCCATAGAAGTGTTCCCAGTTGTCTATGAAAGATATTGCATTTGATTTGCAATATCTTTCCAGCCGGCAATTGACACCAAGTGCCCTCGACAACCATTCATTCCCAACGCTCTTTCTTGGAAGAATGCCACATATGATCGGGATTCCTCCCTTGCTCCTAACTAATTCTATGGCTTTGTTAAATTTCTGTATCAGTTCCTCACTCCTAACTCGTCCAACATCATTACCCCCTGCACTAATACAAATAATGGGTTTGTTCCCATTTCCCGTCATAATATCTTTCATGTTGTCAACAATATCTCCAATTCCAGCTCATGGATAGCAAAACCTTAACCTGTTCCCCTTATCTCTGGCACAAAAAGTCTTATCGAAATACCTCACCTGGGAATCTCATATAACCAAAGTTCGCTTAGGTACCTCCTTAACTTTCTGAGCACTTTGAGGAGCCTGCGATACGTTGCTCTTCGTTGATTTCCCTTTCGAGTGAACTGCAGGCTCACCACAGCACTTGTCTTCCAACACGGCAAATAATTTGAAGTCCTTAGGGCGTCTGTGGGCGGCCTTGTCAAGGTCTTCTACTAGGTGTTTTAAATATTGGTCTCCTCCTTCGTTTCTTCTCGATGTTTCAGCTGTCGTACCTCCTTCCATAGGGAATCCATCTCTGCTCTCAGAGTTCCACCTAAATTCATCATTTCCTTCACTAATCCTTCCATTATTGCTATAATAATATTACTGCAATTGGAGCTCCAGCTAACACAACCTGTCACTGTGACTGATCTATCTCCTTTCTTAAAAAGTGGCACCATATTAGCTACCTTCCATGACTCTGGCACTCTGCCTAACTGCCTGACTCTATTGATTTATTAAATATGATAGACAGTGGCTCGGAAAGCTCCTCTTTTCATTTTACCACAGATAGAGTAGTATCCTGGCCTACTTCGGGGTACCTTGTAGTACTCTCAAGGTAAGGTATTAGAACCACTCATATTTCTTATAAATATATTAATAACTTGCTACGTGATTCTTGGCGATCTGCTGCATGGGTGACAGCTTCTCCCCCATATCAACCTACCCAGGCTTTACACCCTGGAGAGGCCACTCCAGACCGACAACCAGAGCGCAACTCCATAGTCTCCTGAGACTGATGGATGCCTACAACTACTACTACTACTACTACTTGCTTCTTGCTATCTTAAACTTATACTATCTGCTGATGGCATTACCTTCATCTCCTCCAACCTACACGAGCCCAGCACCACCACTTGCAGCCCCAAGTCTCCCCCCCCCCTCCCTGCTCAATACCCCGAGGCTTACCAAAGGATATGGCACAGTTAGCCACGAGCACAACGATGCCGGCACAGATGAAGAAGTTGACATAGTCGCCAGTAAAACCGACCATGTTGTAGACGATAGCGACGAAGGCGAAGGGGTACGTGATGTGGAAGGGCGTCTCGGCCAACATCTTGGAGAGGAAGTAGACATCAGCGCGGTACATCCCGTTGAAGTGCTCCCTTAAGAAGATGGGCAGCTGGGCGCAGAACGTCTGTGGGAGAGAGGGAGGCAGAAGGGATGGAGTCAGCACCACAAGGAGAAGGTGAAAAATGTATCCCCGGAGCGGGGATATGGTCAACCAGGTATCAACCAGGTATCAACCAGGTATCAACCAGGTATCAACCAGGTATCAACCCAGGTATCAACCAGGTATCAACCAGGTATCAACCAGGTATCAACCAGGTATCAACCAGGTATCAACCAGGTATCAACCAGGTATCAACCAGGGGATATAGATCTGGCAGCCAAGAGCACACCAGCAAGCCAGTTCTGGCCTTCACGTCTCCACTGTATTTGATGACAGCCTGTGTCTGTAATACAACCTGGAAGAGCCAGCTGTATGGTCAGTGCCAGCTGTATGGTCAGTGCCAGCTGTATGGTCAGTGCCAGCTGTATGGTCAGTGCCAGCTGTATGGTCAGTGCCAGCTGTATGGTCAGTGCCACCGGTATGGTCAGTGCCAGCTGTATGGTCAGTGCCACCTGTATGGTCAGTGCCAGCTGTATGGTCAGTGCCAGCTGTATGGTCAGTGCCACCGGTATGGTCAGTGCCAGCTGTATGGTCAGTGCCACCGGTATGGTCAGTGCCAGCTGTGTGGTCAGTGCCACCTGTATGGTCAGTGCCAGCTGTATGGTCAGTGCCAGCTGTATGGTCAGTGCCAGCTGTATGGTCAGTGCCAGCTGTATGGTCAGTGCCAGCTGTATGGTCAGTGCCAGCTGTATGGTCAGTGCCAGCTGTATGGTCAGTGCCAGCTGTATGGTCAGTGCCACCGGTATGGTCAGTGCCAGCTGTGTGGTCAGTGCCACCTGTATGGTCAGTGCCAGCTGTATGGTCAGTGCCAGCTGTATGGTCAGTGCCAGCTGTATGGTCAGTGTCAGCTGTATGGTCAGTGCCAGCTGTATGGTCAGTGCCAGCTGTATGGTCAGTGCCACCTGTATGGTCAGTGCCAGCTGTATGGTCAGTGCCAGCTGTATGGTCAGTGCCAGCTGTATGGTCAGTGCCAGCTGTATGGTCAGTGCCAGCTGTATGGTCAGTGCCAGCTGTATGGTCAGTGTCAGCTGTATGGTCAGTGCCAGCTGTATGGTCAGTGCCAGCTGTATGGTCAGTGGCTGTATGGTCAGTGTCCTGTACAGTGTCAGCTGTATGGTGCCAGCTGTGTGGTCAGTGCCACCTGTATGGTCAGTGCCAGCTGTATGGTCAGTGTCAGCTGTATGGTCAGTGTCAGCTGTATGGTCAGTGCCAGCTGTGTGGTCAGTGTCAGCTGTATGGTCAGTGTCAGCTGTGTGGTCAGTGCCACCTGTATGGTCAGTGTCAGCTGTATGGTCAGTGCCACCTGTATGGTCAGTGCCAGCTGTATGGTCAGTGCCAGCTGTATGGTCAGTGCCAGCTGTATGGTCAGTGCCAGCTGTATGGTCAGTGCCAGCTGTATGGTCAGTGCCAGCTGTATGGTCAGTGCCAGCTGTGTGGTCAGTGCCAGCTGTATGGTCAGTGCCAGCTGTGTGGTCAGTGCCACCTGTATGGTTAGTGCCAGCTGTATGGTCAGTGCCAGCTGTATGGTTAGTGCCAGCTGTATGGTCAGTGCCACCTGTATGGTCAGTGCCAGCTGTATGGTCAGTGCCAGCACAGACAACATCCCAGACATCTGCACATGGTGACGGTAATTAAGGAAATCAAAGAGAAATATACATTTTTTTGACCATTAAAAAGACGGAGATAGAGTACCTCAAGAGACGGAGGAAGAAACAGAGAATACTGAACTAGGGTAAAGAGACGACTTAGAAGACATAGATTAAGGAGTCAACAAGTTAGAGGGAAGAATTCGGATTAGGTAAGACGTGGATTAGTAAAGAGAGAGAGAGAGAGAGAGAGAGAGAGAGAGAGAGAGAGAGAGAGAGAGAGAGAGAGAGAGAGAGAGAGAGAGAGAGAGAGAGAGAGAGAGAGAGAGAGAGAGAGAGAGAGAGAGAGAGAGAGGAGAGAGAGAGAGAGAGAGAGAGGAGAGAGAGAGAGAGAGAGAGAGAGAGAGAGAGAGAGAGAGAGAGAGAGAGAGAGAGAGAGAGAGAGAGAGAGAGAGAGAGAGAGAGAGAGAGAGAGAGAGAGAGAGAGAGAGAGAGAGAGAAGAGAGAGAGAGAGAGAGAGAGAGAGAGAGAGAGAGAGAGAGAGAGAGAGAGAGAAGAGAGAGAGAGAGAGAGAGAGGAGAGAGAGAGAGAGAGAGAGAGAGAGAGAGAGAGAGAGAGAGAGAGAGAGAGAGAGAGAGAGAGAGAGAGAGAGAGAGAGAGAGAGAGAGAGAGAGATGAGAGATTGAGGAGGGTTGCAGAGTCCTCAGAGAGAGAGCAAGAGAGAGGAGAGAGAGACGAGAGAGAGAATGAGAGAGAGAGAGGACACACCACACACACACACACACACACACACACACACACACACACACACACAGGAAGATAGAGAGAGAGAGAGGGTGATCCACTTACACTGACGACGCCAAAGACATTCTGGAAGGTCATGTTGGTGAGGAGGAGGAAGAGGGCGCCGTTAATGTTGGTGATACCCTCCTGGGTCAGCTGCTGACCCCAGTAGATCAACCCGATCAGCAGGGCGATGGCCTGAAACACCAGAGACTGGATAACCTGCGATATCGAACATCACTTTTGGAACAGGGTTTGAAGTACAGAGAGGGAACTAGAGCCTGTACAGCCTGAAATGCAATAGTGTACAAGGGTGTCAAAGTCAAGAACACGAGATAATGTACAATAATTTCCAGGGCAGGGAATGTTATGGAGGGAAAGGCACAACACATGCTCAGTTTGGCGATGGTGTGAACCACAAGTGTGTGAGTGGCGTGTCTGAAGCCTGAGTGGCGTGTCTGAAGCCTGAGTGGCGTGTCTGAAGCCTGAGTGGCGTGTCTGAAGCCTGAGTGGAGTGTCAGAAGTGCCTCTTGTCAGTCCCAACGAGACTCATTAGCGCTCTTGCCTGAAATAATACAAGAAACTCCACATCATAATAGTCTTCTCTCACGCTCAAAGTTGCCTGGAAGATTTCCAGCGACCAAGGAAAATATAGGACGTGATAACGAGAGCACTGAACGTCCAACAAGACCTGGAAGGGGACTTACCATGACCTGGAGGAAGCGGACCTTGATGAGCATGGGTTCCCGGATCACCTCCAGCCACGAGCGCCAGAGAACATTGCGGAACTGAGTCCACCAGGAGGCCTTGTAGGGCGACTTCCTCACCTCCTGGTCTCCCAGGCTGTCGTACCGCTGCTGCTGTTGTTGGTGAGAGACAGTGTTAGTCTGCTGCTGTTGTTGTTGGTGAGAGACAGTGTTAGTCTGCTGCTGTTGTTGTTGGTGAGAGACAGTGTTAGTCTGCTGCTGTTGTTGTTGGTGAGAGACAGTGTTAGTCTGCTGCTGTTGTTGTTGGTGAGAGACAGTGTTAGTCTGCTGCTGCTGTTGTTGTTGTTGTGAGAGACAGTGTTAGTCTGCTGCAGCTGTTGTTGTTGGTGAGAGACAGTGTTAGTCTGCTGCTGTTATTGTTGGTGAGAGACAGTGTTAGTCTGCTGCAGCTGTTGTTGTTGGTGAGAGACAGTGTTAGTCTGCTGCTGTTATTGTTGGTGAGAGACAGTGTTAGTCTGCTGCTGTTATTGTTGGTGAGAGACAGTGTTAGTCTGCTGCTGTTATTGTTGGTGAGAGACAGTGTTAGTCTGCTGCTGTTGTTGTTGGTGAGAGACAGTGTTAGTCTGCTGCTGTTGTTGTTGGTGAGAGACAGTGTTAGTCTGCAGCTGTTATTGTTGGTGAGAGACAGTGTTAGTCTGCTGCTGTTGTTGTTGGTGAGAGACAGTGTTAGTCTGCTGCTGCTGTTGTTGTTGGTGAGAGACAGTGTTAGTCTGCTGCTGTTGTTGTTGGTGAGAGACAGTGTTAGTCTGCTGCTGTTGTTGTTGTTGGTGAGAGACAGTGTTAGTCTGCTGCTGTTGTTGTTGGTGAGAGACAGTGTTAGTCTGCTGCTGTTGTTGTTGGTGAGAGACAGTGTTAGTCTGCTGCTGCTGCTGTTGTTGGTGAGAGACAGTGTTAGTCTGCTGCTGTTATTGTTGGTGAGAGACAGTGTTAGTCTGCTGCTGCTGTTGTTGTTGGTGAGAGACAGTGTTAGTCTGCTGCTGTTGTTGTTGGTGAGAGACAGTGTTAGTCTGCTGCTGTTGTTGTTGGTGAGAGACAGTGTTAGTCTGCTGCTGCTGTTGTTGGTGAGAGACAGTGTTAGTCTGCTGCTGTTGTTGTTGGTGAGAGACAGTGTTAGTCTGCTGCTGCTGTTGTTGTTGGTGAGAGACAGTGTTAGTCTGCTGCTGTTGTTGTTGGTGAGAGACAGTGTTAGTCTGCTGCTGTTGTTGATGGTGAGAGACAGGGCCCCCAGGGTCACAGGTCCTCAGGGCCCCCAGGGTCACAGGTCCTCAGGGCCCCCAGGGTCACAGGTCCTCAGGGACCCCAGGGTCACAGGTCCACAGGGCCCCCAGGGTCACAGAACCTCAGGGCCCCCAGGGTAACAGGTCCTCAGGGCCCCCAGGGTCACAGGTCCTCAGGGACCCCAGGGTCACAGGTCCTCAGGGCCCCCAGGGTCACAGGTCCTCAGGGCCCCCAGGGTCACAGGTCCTCAGGGCCCCCAGGGTCACAGGTCCTCAGGGCCCCCAGGGTCACAGGTCCTCAGGGCCCCCAGGGTCACAGGTCCTCAGGGCCCCCAGGGTCACAGGTCCTCAGGGCCCCCAGGGTCACAGGTCCTCAGGGCCCCCAGGGTAACAGGTCCTCAGGGCCCCCAGGGTCACAGGTCCTCAGGGCCCCCAGGGTCAGAGGTCCTCAGGGCCCCCAGGGTCACAGGTCCTCAGGGACCCCAGGGTCACAGGTCCACAGGGCCCCCAGGGTCACAGGTCCCCAGGGCCCCCAGGGTCACAGGTCCTCAGGGCCCCCAGGGTCACAGGCCCTCAGGGCCCCAGAGGTCACAGGTCCTCAGGGACCCCAGGGTCACAGGTCCACAGGGCCCCCAGGGTCACAGGTCCTCAGGGCCCCCAGGGTCACAGGTCCTCAGGGCCCCAGGGGTCACAGGTCCTCAGGGACCCCAGGGTCACAGGTCCACAGGGCCCCCAGGGTCACAGGTCCTCAGGGCCCCCAGGGTCACAGGTCCTCAGGGCCCCCAGGGTCACAGGTCCTCAGGGCCCCCAGGGTCACAGGTCCTCAGGGCCCCCAGGGACCTGAATACACGGAATACTTTTATTAGTATTATTGATTAATACTAATAAAAGTTGTTTTTTTAATGGACGTTAATAATCACGACTATAATAGCATGTAATGAAGGCATACTCATAATATGCAGAGCTTTCTGAGGGCAGTAATTATGGAGAGAGGAGCATTATAGAGAATATTACCTGTAGGGCCATTATTTTTTTGGGCATAGTTCTAGTCGATAGAAACAATGTTTCAAGCGCTCCGGTACCTAGAAGTTCTGTCTAGAGATACTTCTATCACTAGAAGTAATGTCCAGGGATAATTTTCTCAATAGACGCAATGTTTCATGGTGTTCTTGTCCCTAGAAGCTGTGTCTGAGGGTGTTCTTGTCCCTAGAAGCTGTGTCTGAGGGTGTTCTTGTCCCTAGAAGCAGTGTCTGAGGGTGTTCTTGTCCCTAGAAGCTGTGTCTGAGGGTGTTCTTGTCCCTAGAAGCTGTGTCTGAGGGTGTTCTTGTCCCTAGAAGCAGTGTCTGAGGGTGTTCTTGTCCCTAGAAGCTGTGTCCGAGGGTGTTCTTGTCCCTAGAAGCTGTGTCTGAGGGTGTTCTTGTCCCTAGAAGCAGTGTCTGAGGGTGTTCTTGTCCCTAGAAGCTGTGTCTGAGGGTGTTCTTGTCCCTAGAAGCTGTGTCTGAGGGTGTTCTTGTCCCTAGAAGCAGTGTCTGAGGGTGTTCTTGTCCCTAGAAGCAGTGTCTGATGGTGTTCTTGTCCCTAGAAGCAGTGTCTGAGGGTGTTCTTGTCCCTAGAAGCTGTGTCTGAGGGTGTTCTTGTCCCTAGAAGCTGTGTCTGAGGGTGTTCTTGTCCCTAGAAGCTGTGTCTGAGGGTGTTTTTGTCCCTAGAAGCAGTGTCTGAGGGTGTTCTTGTCCCTAGAAGCTGTGTCTGAGGGTGTTCTTGTCCCTAGAAGCTGTGTCTGAGGGTGTTATTGTCCCTAGAAGCTGTGTCTGAGGGTGTTCTTGTCCCTAGAAGCTGTGTCTGAGGGTGTTCTTGTCCCTAGAAGCTGTGTCTGAGGGTGTTCTTGTCCCTAGAAGCTGTGTCTGAGGGTGTTCTTGTCCCTAGAAGCTGTGTCTGAGGGTGTTCTTGTCCCTAGAAGCAGTGTCTGAGGGTGTTCTTGTCACTAGAAGCAGTGTCTGAGGGTGTTCTTGTCCCTAGAAGCAGTGTCTGAGGGTGTTCTTGTCCCTAGAAGCAGTGTCTGAGGGTGTTCTTGTCCCTAGAAGCAGTGTCTGAGGGTGTTCTTGTCCCTAGAAGCAGTGTCTGAGGGTGGTCTTGTCCCTAGAAGCTGTGTCTGAGGGTGTTCTTGTCCCTAGAAGCAGTGTCTGAGGGTGTTCTTGTCCCTAGAAGCTGTGTCTGAGGGTGTTCTTGTCCCTAGAAGCTGTGTCTGAGGGTGTTCTTGTCCCTAGAAGCTGTGTCTGAGGGTGTCATTGTCCCTAGAAGCAGTGTCTGAGGGTGTTCTTGTCCCTAGAAGCAGTGTCTGAGGGTGTTCTTGTCCCTAGAAGCAGTGTCTGAGGGTGTTCTTGTCCCTAGAAGCAGTGTCTGAGGGTGTCATTGTCCCTAGAAGCAGTGAATAACACTGCTCTGACACCGGAAGTATTGTGTCGGGGTGCTTCGATTCGTACCACATGTCTTGTAGTATTCAGGTCCCTAGAAGCTACGTCACTGCCCACTCTGGTCTCTTAAAACAATGTTTATGGGCACTCCAATTGTTTGAATCAATGTTTAGGGGGCACTCCAAGCCCTTGAATCAATGTTTAGGGTCACTCCAATTGTTTAAATCAATGTTTAGGGGCACTCCAATCCTTTGAATCAATGTTTAGGGGCACTCCAATCCTTTGAATCAATGTTTAGGGGCACTCCAATCCTTTGAATCAATGTTTAGGGGCACTCCAATCTTTTGAATCAAAGTTTAGGGTCACTCCATTTCCTTTGAATCAGTGTTTAGGGGCACTCCACTCGTTTGAATCAATAATTAGGGTTACCTAGGGTCACCCTAAAATCTTGAATCAATGTCTCGAGATGCTCCGGTACCGACTCACTTCCATCTCTTTGGAGTTCTCCTTGACGGCCCGGCTGATGCTCACGCCGTCGTCCGACTTGCTGAATTCGTCACAGATCATGGTGATGGCCCTCCTGCAGGCCTCCTCCTTGCCCGGCTGCACTGCCAGCGTCGAGATGAAGAAGTCAGCCGGATTGTAATTGGGAGGACAGGGAAGGCCGATCCTGGGCGGTGTGAGAGAGAGAGAGAGAGAGTTCAAGCATGTTTATTGAGATAAGCAATAAATACATCTCAAAGGGATAGAGTAGCTTAGGCTATTTCTACCCCCCTGAGAGAGAGAGAGAGAGAGACAATGTGAAGCGCGCCAGGTGGTGGCTGAGGTGGTGAGGTGTTGCCTACCCGTCAAACACACGACAAAACTACGACGTTGCTACATCGTCCGAATAAGTTTTAACACCTAACAACTTGTAACAATGTTCTAATACGTCATAAAAAACATTATAACCAGATGTAACAACTTTATTATAAGATGCAACAAGCGGAAAATAGGGACAGTTACGTTGTGCGTTTGCAGGGTAGTTAGTGTGGGAAATTTTATCCACTATATCCATATTATTATCTAAGAAATGTATTATTTCTATATCATATCAAAATCATATCAGAATCACTTCAGTTTCATTAAATCCTCCATCTGGACCCTACATGACACTGCCACTATGGTCACGCGTGCCATGAGGCCCATAGTGCCTACGTGACTTTGTGCATGATTTCTTCAGGATCTAGAAGCTTCAAGAAAAATATCTAAATTAAAAAACTATTGGAACATCAATTGATTTCCGGTGAGGATTAAATCAAATCCTTAATAAGAATCAATAGTACTATCAAGTACTACAAATAATCTTTAAATCTTGTATCTAATTATATTATAATCACATCTTATCTCAATCATATGTCTAGACAGTAAAAATAATCAATCAATATTCATTGAAGGCTACCTTGTTCACCAAGTGAACGGAGTCTTCAAGCTCCCAAGCGGAAAGAGCATGTTTACAAACAGAGCGTACATGAGTGACTGTGCTTTGTGAACATTTTCAGTAAAGGACACCATACTAACTTATCATTATCACCAGTGATTAATCTTTAGAACTGGGGGAGTACCTGGACTATATCTATAAGGAAAAATTCCTAGTACTTTATCTAAATAAGAGTGTAGAGTGGAGCACACCAAGGGACGCCGCCTCCACAATCAACTTTATCTTATCCTACTACAAACACAACTAAGGACATAATCAATTAGCAAGGCTATTAAGGACATATTCAACAGCAAAGCTACTATTTTATTATAAAAAATAGAGTGCCTATTATCTCCAAAAGAAATTAAACAGTCTGGTCATTTGTCAGACAGGCGCCGGCACTCAGATTGGATAAACCATAAGTATTGAGTGTTATTGTTATGTGTTGATTGTCCAATTGCGTGCTTGTGTAACCTTAATGTATCCAATAAGTCTGTTTGTCGTTACAGTGTTGGGTGACGCCCCATATTTCAGTAAGTTTTTATTAATCTTTCAGTCACTGAATCTTTTCAAGTTATCTAGACACTCATTAATTCAACCTCAGTCATTGAAAGTCAAGCTCGACTGAAACTTTTCATATAAACTGAACATATCTGTATATATAATTGATAATATACAGTGAGTTAACAATTGCTTACTTAGTTTTCTTTAATTTACCATATCATATTTATATATATCATACCTCTATAATGCAAATTGTTGTGTTTATTAGTATGTGAATATTGGCTGTTGTAGTTACGGTGATAGGCTGGACTGTGTACATGTTTCGATCCTTGATTTAAACAAAACCAGTGTTCAGTTATAGAACTGAGTTAGTTAATCTTATCCTTGTATTAACAATACAAGCTGATGTGTTGAATTGTCTGTAGGTGGATTGTAGATCTTTAATCAACTTCTCCATTCACCCTTAGGGACCCCACCTGCCCCTTACAGCCCACAGTCTGTCATTAGGTCATGAGGAGCTAGGCTTTACGATACTAGCTAGGGATTTTAGTTGTATTAATTTTCACATACAGTAACTTTTTAATTTAGTACAGTACAAGTCCCAAGTTGTTCTCATTTATCAATCCCGACAATTTTCCCACAGTAACGAGTCTAATGCAGATGATGAGTCACAATAACGCGGCTGAAGATCTGAAGACTAAACCACACATCAAGAAGATGAGGAGACGACGACGTTTCGGTCCGTCCAGGACCATTATCAAGTATATTGTCACTTGATAATGGACCAGGATGGACCGAAACGTCGTCGTGTGCTCATCTTCTGGTGTGTGATTTGGTCTTCATCCTGGAGGATGAAGGAGGAGGAGGCCTGGTCGACGACCGGGCCGCGGGGACGTTAAGCCCCGGAAGCACCTCAAGGTAACCTCAAGGTAACTTCATAATGAGTCTAATGCATGGGACTCATTACACTGACTACGTCATAACAACTGTAACCACAGGGGGAAGGGGGGGAACATGATCAAATGAGGATCATGGTGAAAGTAACAGAATTATCACACCGTAGACATCACGTAAATGTTAGCTGAGGCAGCAGACAGACTCGAAGCAAAACTAATTGTTATATTAAATGGGAACCATAGTGAAATAGAATGAGATTTGAGGAACCACTGTATAGATGACCCAGGACATGGAAATATAAGCTGGTAAAAGGAATGGAAAGATAATTTTCAAGACAACATATAAATGAGGAGTAAAAATGTATAGAAGGAGCGTTATCTCCTAGATATCTATCTAGTCTCCTAGATATCTCCTAGATATCTCCTAGATATCTAATCTAGAGTAAAGCCGGTGTTCGCTGACCATCAGGAAGCTATCAAGAACATGGTCGTGGAACACTCCTTAAGGGCCAGCGATCATTACATGCTGACATTTAACTATACAGCAGAGACCAAAAATAAGGCCGGCGAGTGTGAGATGTAATAATATTTAACAAATAAAAAAGGAAAATAAGGGATATTAAGAGTTTGTGTGAAGAATAATGTAGAAGAGTGAGCCAAGAGATAGGACTGTGCAGAACATGATAGATATTTTTATTTATAAATGTAAGACAACTGAAAATATGTTAATTTAAACTGTCAGAGACATTAAATGCCCTGAAGGTGGAGGAAGAATGAGCAGAACGTGTAACATATAGAGACAAGGCACATTAACGGAGAAGCTATTATGAGATATATACAAGAGTTGTTACATTCTTGTACAGCCACTAGTACGCGTAGCGTTTCGGGCAAGTCCTTAATCCTATGGTCCCTGGAATACGATCCCCTGCCGCGAAGAATCGTTTTTTCATCCAAGTACACATTTTACTGTTGCGTTAAACAGAGGCTACAGTTAAGGAATTGCGCCAAGTAAATCCTCCCCGGCCAGGATACGAACCCATGACATAGCGCTCGCGGAACGCCAGGCGAGTGTCTTACCACTACACCACGGAGACTGCAAATTAACTGTATTAACTCCAGCAGGACTAGAAGTTACACCCCTGAAATCAGAAGGAAAATACAATAAACAGACTTATTATGCTGCAGTAAAAGCTAGGGAATAACCCAATGCAAATAATGAGATAGTCAGACGGCCGAAGAGAGGTGGAGGCTTAACAGTAAACAGGCAGGAAAGACACGCAAGACATTAAGTGAAAGGTTCTAAGCAATATTCAAAATATAAGATCAACTTCAAGATGAACGTGAGGCTGACATTGATGTGAGAGCAGGACAAGTAGAGACACATCTTGAGGCTCTGTGGATGACAGAGTGTTATAGGGGCAGCACAAGTAGAGACACATCTTGAGGTTCTGTGGATGACAGAGTGTTATAGGGGCAGCACAAGTAGAGACACATCTTGAGGGTCTGTGGATGACAGAGTATTATAGGGGCAGCACAAGTAGAGACACATCTTGAGGCTCTGTGGATGACAGAGTGTTATAGGGGCAGGACAAGTAGAGACACATCTTGAGGTTCTGTGGATGACAGAGTGTTATAGGGGCAGCACAAGTAGAGACACATCTTGAGGCTCTGTGGATGACAGAGTGTTATAGGGGCAGCACAAGTAGAGACACATCTTGAGGCTCTGTGGATGACAGAGTGTTATAGGGGCAGCACAAGTAGAGACACATCTTGAGGCTCTGTGGATGACAGAGTGTTATAGGGGCAGCACAGGCCACGAGCAAGCCACAAGAGCTGGCATACAGAGAACACGCCACCTAAAGTTTGGCAGTCAGTAAAGGCCATATATATAAGAGAGCGAGAGAGAGAGAGAGAGAGAGAGAGAGAGAGAGAGAGAGAGAGAGAGAGAGAGAGAGAGAGAGAGAGAGAGAGAGAGAGAGAGAGAGAGAGAGAGATTACTGGGAACCACGGACGTGTACCACTGACTGCGACGCCCTGTATGATACTGGAAAGATTAACCAGCAGGAAATTAAATACATCTTGAGGAGAGGAACGTCGTGTTCGAGTACCAGTATGGAATTACCGACAGAAAGTTTAGCCTGACACAAAAGGGAAGGATAGACTGATAAGAATGATAAAGGTTTCGACAAGGGAGTGAAATCAAACAACGCTAAACTGGGCAGAGAATAAGCACTCTTTTTTTTTTTCTTTTAAGTCCAACGATAACATTCTAAATTTCCCGTTCCTTGTCACGCATCGTCTACTCAACCTGTTGAAGAACTGGTAAGCGGCGTCGACCTCTCCCAGGAAGGCAACGCGGCCCTCCGCCATCAGCAAGACGCGGTCGAACATGGCGTAGACCTCGGAGCTGGGCTGGTGGATGGTGGAGATGATGGTCTTGCCTCGCTCAGCCATGTTCTTCATCACCGCAACCACGTTCTGGGCCATGAAGGAGTCGAGGCCGGAGGTGGGCTCGTCGCAGAACATGAGTGGCGGGTTGGTCAGCACCTGACGGAGCCACAACATGGTCAGTGTTTACATTACCGGGAATGCTGTAGACAATTTCCACCGTTACATGTGCATACAATTTATTGCTATACTGACCCTCACTCACACCTACGAGACCGACGTGACAAGTGGAACCACATCAAACCAGATTGCAGTCAACTGAATTTCTAGAGAATCATGTCTTCGTTAACTGGAAATGTATATGTATATCTCTCAGAATATTCGGTAATACGTTTATTGCTTGTGATGTGTGTCCATGTATGTATTAACACGATGTACTGAACGGGGTGAGAATAGCTTGAGCTACCTCATCCCTTTGTGTGTATTTTACCCCAATAAACTTATTTCAATTTCAATTTCGTTAACTGATGCTCAGGTGTTATAAAACAAAAAATAGGTTCAAATCCTTCCATCCTTCATTAGCAATATCAGATGCTTAAGTACACCTAAATATTATTACCCTATTTTGAGAACTACATTCTGCACATGAAGACCATAAACAATAACTATAACCCGAGATTATATATATATGGTATGTTTAAATGGTAATCTAAAGTCTTTGAAAATGTAATAAGTTTTACGAAACGCGCTCAAGTGTCGCGTCAGACTAGAAATAAAAATGAATTTTGGAGAATTGATTTTTGAATTACCACCAACAGTGAAAAGAAATGTACGAAAGATTGAGAAAATTCGTGTTAGAATTATTAATCTTCTTAAATGGTCCCATACACGTGTTAGGTGTCCAGACACTGTATGACACGTGCTAGGTGTCCAGACACTGTATGACACGTGCTAGGTGTCCAGACACTGTATGACACGTGTTAGGTGTCCAGACACTGTATGACACGTGCTAGGTGTCCAGACACTGTATGACACGTGTTAGGTGTCCAGACACTGTATGACACGTGCTAGGTGTCCAGACACTGTATGACACGTGTTAGGTGTCCAGACACTGTATGACACGTGTTAGGTGTCCAGACACTGTATGACACGTGTTAGGTGTCCAGACACTGTATGACACGTGCTAGGTGTCCAGACACTGTATGACACGTGTTAGGTGTCCAGACACTGTATGACACGTGCTAGGTGTCCAGACACTGTATGACACGTGCTAGGTGTCCAGACACTGTATGACACGTGTTAGGTGTCCAGACACTGTATGACACGTGTTAGGTGTCCAGACACTGTATGACACGTGTTAGGTGTCCAGACACTGTATGACTGCCTAATAAAATCCGAAGGCTAAAATATGTAGGTATCAAGTTTACATTCACAAAGGTTGTGTATGTAGCAACATATTTGTGTGCCTTATAATATAACAGGTAAATATATATTCAGAAATGTTTATAAATATAAATAATATGAATATAAGTATTCCTATTCATGAATTGTGTTCCTTTATCATAAAAAATAATGCAACTATAATATTAAGAAACGATTATAACTTGATATCTTGGGGAAGAATCGACGGCAGATGTGTACTGTGTAGGATCAGAACACGTGTGGTGATCAGAACACGTGTGGTGATCAGAACATGTGTGGTGATCAGAACATGTGTGGTGATCAGAACACGTGTGGTGATCAGAACATGTGTGGTGATCAGAACATGTGTGGTGATCAGAACATGTGTGGTGATCAGAACATGTGTGGTGATCAGAACATGTGTGGTGATCAGAACATGTGTGGTGATCAGAACATGTATGGTGATCAGAACATGTGTGGCGATCAGAACACGTGTGGTGATCAGAACACGTATGGTGATCAGAACATGTGTGGTGATCAGAACACGTGTGGTGATCAGAACATGTGTGGTGATCAGAACATGTGTGGTGATCAGAACATGTGTGGCGATCAGAACATGTGTGTTGATCAGAACATGTGTGGTGATCAGAACACGTGTGGTGATCAGAACATGTGTGGTGATCAGAACATGTGTGGTGATCAGAACAGGTGTGGTGATCAGAACACGTGTGGTGATCAGAACATGTATGGTGATCAGAACATGTATGGTGATCAGAACATGTATGGTGATCAGAACATGTGTGGTGATCAGAACATGTGTGGTGATCAGAACATGTGTGGTGATCAGAACATGTATGGTGATCAGAACATGTGTGGCGATCAGAACACGTGTCGTGATCAGAACATGTGTGGCGATCAGAACATGTGTGGTGATCAGAACATGTGTGGCGATCAGAACATGTGTGTTGATCAGAACATGTGTGGCGATCAGAACACGTGTGGTGATCAGAACATGTGTGGTGATCAGAACAGGTGTGGTGATCAGAACACGTGTGGTGATGAGAACATGTATGGTGATCAGAACATGTATGGTGATCAGAACATGTATGGTGATCAGAACATGTATGGTGATCAGAACACGTGTAGTGATCAGAACATGTATGGTGATCAGAACACGTGTGGTGATCAGAACATGTGTGGTGATCAGAACATGTATGGTGATCAGAACATGTATGGTGATCAGAACATGTGTGGTGATCAGAACATGTATGGTGATCAGAACATGTATGGTGATCAGAACATGTATGGTGATCAGAACATGTATGGTGATCAGAACATGTGTGGTGATCAGAACATGTATGGTGATCAGAACACGTGTGGTGATCAGAACATGTGTGGTGATCAGAACATGTATGGTGATCAGAACATGTATGGTGATCAGAACATGTGTGGTGATCAGAACATGTATGGTGATCAGAACATGTGTGGCGATCAGAACACGTGTGGTGATCAGAACATGTGTGGCGATCAGAACATGTGTGGTGATCAGAACATGTGTGTTGATCAGAACATGTGTGGTGATCAGAACATGTATGGTGATCAGAACATGTATGGTGATCAGAACATGTGTGGCGATCAGAACATGTATGGTGATCAGAACACGTGTGTTGATCAGAACATGTGTGGTGATCAGAACACGTTGTATGATGATCAAAACATTGTCAACACACAGTGAAGCGGACACACAGTCTGGGGGGGGGGGTGGAGGGGTGGGGATAGGGGGGCTGTTACTCTAACTGCTCTCAGGACAGTAGGGAGAGCCAAGGCCCCTTAGTAATGGCCGTGTCAGCGCGGGTCGATCAGGCCGATGGCATTGTTGCACGGGAGATCGAAGACGGTTGATGAAGCTAGTTTTTCTTTAGCGATCTCAAGGTTACGCCAGTCAGAAGCCCCGTGGCTACATAGCTTCCCGTTCATTTGATAAATTATTTCGCAACGAGTGAGCTAACCTGGCAAGCATCTTACACTAACTAAAAACATATATTTTATGTTAATATTTTATACTAATACTTGTATTTAACACAAATTTTGCATATGTCATGACTAGAAGAGATGACTTGAGGGATGGTTACTAACCTCACACGCAAAGGCCAGCCTCTTCATCTCTCCGCCGGAGATGCCCTTGATCCGCCCAGGTACACCAATCTTAGTGTCCGCACACTTGCTCAGTCCGAGCTGTGGAGGAGGACCCGCCGGGCCGGTAAGGTGTTGGTGCACAAGTAATGATTGATCATGACAACTGTGGCTGTTGAGATGCTAACTTACTCTCAGCTAACACTGTTGAGATGCTAACTTACTCTCAGCTAACACTGTTGAGATGCTAACTTACACTCAGCTAACACTGTTGAGATGCTAACTTACTCTCAGCTAACACTGTTGAGATGCTAACTTACTCTCAGCTAACACTACTGAGATGCTAACTTACTCTCAGCTAACACTGTTGAGATGCTAACTTACTCTCAGCTAACACTACTGAGATGCTAACTTACTCTCAGCTGACACTGTTGAGATGCTAACTTACTCTCAACTGACACTGTTGAGATGCTAACTTACTCTCAGCTAACACTGTTGAGATGCTAACTTACTCTCAGCTGACACTGTTGAGATGCTAACTTACTCTCAGCTAACACTGTTGAGATGCTAACTTACTCTCAGCTGACACTGTTGAGATGCTAACTTACTCTCAGCTAACACTGTTGAGATGCTAACTTACTCTCAGCTAACACTACTGAGATGCTAACTTACTCTCAGCTGACACTGTTGAGATGCTAACTTACTCTCAGCTAACACTGTTGAGATGCTAACTTACTCTCAGCTGACACTGTTGAGATGCTAACTTACTCTCAGCTGACACTGTTGAGATGCTAACTTACTCTCAGCTGACACTGTTGAGATGCTAACTTACTCTCAGCTGACACTGTTGAGATGCTAACTTACTCTCAGCTAACACTGTTGAGATGCTAACTTACTCTCAGCTGACACTGTTGAGATGCTAACTTACACTCAGCTAACACTGTTGAGATGCTAACTTACTCTCAGCTAACACTGTTGAGATGCTAACTTACTCTCAGCTGACACTGTTGAGATGCTAACTTACTCTCAGCTAACACTACTGAGATGCTAACTTACTCTCAGCTGACACTGTTGAGATGCTAACTTACACTCAGCTGACACTGTTGAGATGCTAACTTACTCTCAGCTGACACTGCTGAGATGCTAACTTACTCTCAGCTGACACTGCTGAGATGCTAACTTAGTCATAATGGAGTCAAATTACTGCTGTTTAATTTCTAGCATAACATAATATATACGTGACATCCTCTTCTGCTTTATTACTAATAATGAACTGTCAACTATACCAACACTTTGGGGTCAGGGATACTTCAGTACCCTGGTGTATGAGGTATACCGGGGGACTGTACCCGGGTGTATGAGGTATACCGGAGACTGTACCCGGGTGTATGAGGTATACCGGGGGACTGTACCCGGGTGTATGAGGTATACCGGAGACTGTACCCGGGTGTATGAGGTATACCGGGGACTGTACCCGGGTGTATGAGGTATACCGGGGACTGTACCCGGGTGTATGAGGTATACCGGGGACTGTACCCGGGTGTATGAGGTATACCGGGGACTGTACCCGGGTGTATGAGGTATACCGGGGACTGTACCCGGGTGTATGAGGAATACCGGGGACTGTACCCGGGTGTATGAGGTATACCGGGAGACTGTACCCGGGTGTATGAGGTATACCGGAGACTGTACCCGGGTGTATGAGGTATACCGGGGACTGTACCCGGGTGTATGAGGTATACCGGGGACTGTACCCGGGTGTATGAGGTATACCTGAGACTGTACCCGGGTGTATGAGGTATACCGGGGACTGTACCCGGGTGTATGAGGTATACCGGGGACTGTACCCGGGTGTATGAGGTATACCGGGGACTGTACCCGGGTGTATGAGGAATACCGGGGACTGTACCCGGGTGTATGAGGTATACCGGGAGACTGTACCCGGGTGTATGAGGTATACCGGAGACTGTACCCGGGTGTATGAGGTATACCGGGGGACTGTACCCGGGTGTATGAGGTATACCGGGGGACTGTACCCGGGTGTATGAGGTATACCGGAGACTGTACCCGGGTGTATGAGGTATACCGGGGGACTGTACCCGGGTGTATGAGGTATACCGGAGACTGTACCCGGGTGTATGAGGTATACCGGAGACTGTACCCAGGTGTATGAGGTATACCGGGGGACTGTACCTGGGTGTATGAGGTATACCGGAGACTGTACCCGGGTGTATGAGGTATACCGGAGACTGTACCCGGGTGTATGAGGTATACCGGAGACTGTACCCGGGTGTATGAGGTATTCCGGGGGACTGTACCCGGTTGTATGAGGTATACCAGGGGCCTGTACCCGGGTGTATGAGGTATACCGGGAGACTGTACCCGGGTGTATGAGGTATACCGGGGACTGTACCCGGTTGTATGAGGTATACCGGAGACTGTACCCGGGTTTATGAGGTATACCGGGGGACTGTACCCGGGTGTATGAGGTTACCTATCACTGGGGACTCTGTACCCGGGATTTGGCGGGAATTTGTGACTTAAAAAAAAAACTTAAAACAACTTTTAAACAACTTAAAAACTTTTAAACAACTTAAAAAATTGGTCTTAAGTTGGATATAATTACTTGGTGGACACGGAAAAGACGGCTTTTATACTACTAGATAAACTTAGGAAACAGATCCTAAAATCTGAGACATATCTTGAGAACTATACTTTTTAAGACCAAGAGAGAGAAAGAGAGAGAGTCTCGATTTGTGCTTCTAGTTCTCGGTCTCTACTTTCTGGTCTCGTTCTGTTCTCTGTGGCCTCGGTCTGTTCTCTCTGGTCTCGATCAGAGATCATGTCTGGTCTCTCTGGTCATGTTCTATGCTCTCTGGTTTCGTTATGTTCTCTATGGTCTCGGTCTGTTCTCTGGTCTTGTTCTATTCTGTCTGGTCTCGTTCTGTTCTTTCTAGTCTCGTGTTCTCTTTTGTCTAGGTCTCTTGTCTCTGGTCTAAGTTTGTTAGTCTATTGTGATCTTACTGTTGGTCTGTTGTGATCTTACTGTTGGTTTGTTGTGATCTTACTGTTGGTCTGTTGTGATCTTACTGTTGGTTTGTTGTGATCTTACTGTTGGTCTGTTGTGATCTTACTGTTGGTCTGTTGTGACCTTACTGTTAGTCTGTTGTGATCTTACTGTTGGTCTGTTGTGATCTTACTGTTGGTTTGTTGTGATCTTACTGTTGGTCTGTTGTGATCTTACTGTTAGTCTGTTGTGACCTTACTGTTGGTCTGTTGTGATCTTACTGTTGGTCTGTTGTGACCTTACTGTTAGTCTGTTGTGATCTTACTGTTGGTCTGTTGTGATCTTACTGTTGGTCTGTTGTGACCTTACTGTTAGTCTGTTGTGATCTTACTGTTGGTCTGTTGTGATCTTACTGTTGGTTTGTTGTGATCTTACTGTTGGTCTGTTGTGATCTTACTGTTAGTCTGTTGTGACCTTACTGTTGGTCTGTTGTGATCTTACTGTTGGTCTGTTGTGACCTTACTGTTGGTCTGTTGTGATCTTACTGTTGGTCTGTTGTGACCTTACTGTTGGTCTGTTGTGATCTTACTGTTGGTCTGTTGTGACCTTACTGTTGGTCTGTTGTGATCTTACTGTTGGTCTGTTGTGACCTTACTGTTGGTCTGTTGTGACCTTACTGTTGGTCTGTTGTGATCTTACTGTTGGTCTGTTGTGACCTTACTGTTAGTCTGTTGTGATCTTACTGTTGGTCTGTTGTGATCTTACTGTTGGTCTGTTGTGATCTTACTGTTGGTCTGTTGTGACCTTACTGTTGGTCTGTTGTGACCTTACTGTTAGTCTGTTGTGATCTTACTGTTGGTCTGTTGTGATCTTACTGTTGGTCTGTTGTGACCTTACTGTTGGTCTGTTGTGATCTTACTGTTGGTCTGTTGTGATCTTACTGTTGGTCTGTTGTGATCTTACTGTTGGTCTGTTGTGATCTTACTGTTGGTCTGTTGTGATCTTACTGTTAGTCTGTTGTGATCTTACTGTTGGTCTGTTGTGATCTTACTGTTGGTCTGTTGTGATCTTACTGTTGGTCTGTTGTGACCTTACTGTTAGTCTGTTGTGATCTTACTGTTGGTCTGTTGTGACCTTACTGTTGGTCTGTTGTGATCTTACTGTTAGTCTGTTGTGATCTTACTGTTGGTCTGTTGTGATCTTACTGTTGGTCTGTTGTGACCTTACTGTTAGTCTGTTGTGATCTTACTGTTGGTCTGTTGTGACCCTACTGTTAGTCTGTTGTGATCTTACTGTTGGTCTGTTGTGACCTTACTGTTAGTCTGTTGTGATCTTACTGTTGGTCTGTTGTGATCTTACTGTTAGTCTGTTGTGATCTTACTGTTGGTCTGTTGTGACCTTACTGTTAGTCTGTTGTGATCTTACTGTTGGTCTGTTGTGATCTTACTGTTAGTCTGTTGTGATCTTACTGTTGGTCTGTTGTGACCCTACTGTTGGTCTGTTGTGACCTTACTGTTGGCCAGTAATGACCGCAGGTGTAAACAGTGGGGGTGGCCACTGTCGGCTAGTACTGACCTCACTGATGACCTCGTCCACTCGTGTCATCCGCTGGTCGAAGGTCAGGTATCGGTCCATCCGGAGCATGGCCTGGAGAACGTCACACGGGATTATACTAAAGAATAGAATATATTAAGTGTTTATTTTCTCCTTCTTTACACTTCTTATAAAGAAGTCTAACCACATGGAGTGGACGGTAGAGCGACGGCCTCACCTCTAGCAGGTCGGCGTTCTATCCTTGTTGGTCCAAGTGGTTGGTCACCATTCCTTCCGTCCCTCCTATCCCAAATCCTCATCCTCATACCTTCCAAGTGTTATATAGTCTAAATGGCTAAGCGCCTTCACCTTATAATTACCTTACCTTGCCACAAACCCGGCGTTGAGGTTCAACGACAATGTGCGCATATTTCACCCGTGTTCAACACTCACTGTAGGTGTTATCTCTGCCACAAGAAGCTAATCCTAAATATCTTCTGACATGAGCTCAATTCCACACTGGATTCTGTTGATTTAAAGCGGAACCGATTCCAATCTATTTGCCATTTGTGCTCCATAAAAAGTTTTCACCATTGCTACTGCTGCTGGCTTCATCAGCTCCTAATGTACCGAGGCTTCTTGCATGGTGTATTACTACGCACCACTCTGAAGGTCAGGCAGGATTGTTTTTCTCCCTTTTTATCGTTTCAATATATCAGTCGGTTGCTAATTAAAAATTTGGATGAATAGAACTTAAATCATGCATCGGTTCCTTTTTATTTCATAGATTTGTTTGAGAGGACTGAGAGACATCATACATACTGCGTCGGATATTCCCATTCTGCGTCTCGGCTCAGTGGAACTGTAGCTATGACACTCCAGCTTGTAATTACCACTGGTCAGTCACTTAGTCAAAGACACGCCCTCTTAAACTCATTTCACTTGAAAAACACACTACACAACATTATTCCATCATTCTCACAGAGACACTACACAACTCCAACATTCACCCACAGACACTACACAACACCGCTTCATCATTCACCCACAGACACTACCCAACACCACTCCAACATTCACTCACAGACACTACACAACTCCAACATTCACCCACAGACACTACACAACTCCAACATTCACCCACAGACACTACACAACTCCAACATTCACCCACAGACACTACACAACTCCAACATTCATCCACAGACACTACACAACTCCAACATTCACCCACAGACACTACACAACTCCAACATTCACCCACAGACACTACACAACTCCAACATTCACCCACAGACACTACACAACTCCAACATTCACCCACAGACACTACACAACACCACTCCAACATTCACTCACAGACACTACACAACTCCAACATTCACCCACAGACACTACACAACTCCAACATTCACCCACAGACACTACACAACTCCAACATTCACTCACAGACACTACACAACTCCAACATTCACCCACAGACACTACACAACTCCAACATTCACCCACAGACACTACACAACTCCAACATTCACCCACAGACACTACACAACTCCAACATTCACCCACAGACACTACACAACTCCAACATTCACCCACAGACACTACACAACTCCAACATTCACCCACAGACACTACACAACTCCAACATTCACCCACAGACACTACCCAACACCACTCCAACATTCACTCACAGACACTACACAACTCCAACATTCACCCACAGACACTACACAACTCCAACATTCACCCACAGACACTACACAACTCCAACATTCACCCACAGACACTACACAACTCCAACATTCACCCACAGACACTACACAACTCCAACATTCACCCACAGACACTACACAACACCAACATTCACTCACAGACACTACACAACTCCAACATTCACCCACAGACACTACACAACTCCAACATTCACCCACAGACACTACACCACTCCAACATTCACCCACAGACACTACACCACTCCAACATTCACCCACAGACACTACACAACTCCAACATTCACTCACAGACACTACACAACTCCAACATTCACTCACAGACACTACACAACTCCAACATTCACTCACAGACACTACACAACTCCAACATTCACCCACAGACACTACACAACTCCAACATTCACTCACAGACACTACACAACTCCAACATTCACCCACAGACACTATACAATATCACTCCAATATTCACTCACAGACACAACAATCATAGCAAGCAGTTTCCTGGAACAAACGGAAAACAATTGTCTTATAGTTGCCACAGAATAATATAGAACTGCTACGCGACATCTGAGCGGCTTTAATTAAAACTAAAGTAAATACAGACGCAGGTAAAAACCTTCCTTTGTTGTAAATAACTAAGATCACAACCTCCATTATACCACTTAGTATTTACACGTGGAAATATCAACACTGAACGACGGGGCGTCAGACTCTACGCTGTGGATACCGGCGTAGAGTCTGGCGCTCTGCGTATTGGTATCCCCCAACGTAGTATTTTTGTATTTAGTGTTAAATGTAGCCTCGGGCTTCATGCTAGGCGTGTGAACACAGGGTGTATAGCATGTGGGGCAACATGCTGGTGGGAGCACCAGACTCTGACGGAGAGGTGTGCTCCACACTGAGCACACGAGCCGTGCGTGTAGTGCTGTATCACCGCTGTATTCTCACCTTTACTATTGTCAGTGCTGTATTTCCTTAATGGTTCATCGTGGCTTAGTCTTATTTTTTGCAAAATATATATATAACTATTTTTTTAAAACCCTTCCTGGAACCCTCAGGAAGATTCTAATGACCCACTTTTGGTTTGACTTTTTGCGAACCACAGCTTTAAAGAACAAATCCACAAGGGCCGTGATGAGGATTCGAACCTGCGTCCGGGATCATCCCAGGACATCCCAGCCTTAATCGACTGAGCTACGACAGGGTTAAAAGACTTGAAACCGACGTTAGGCAGTGTCTGGGATGCTCCCGGACGCAGGTTCGAATCCTCGTCACGGCCCTTGTGGATTTGTTCATTTGATGCATCACGTTAGTGTGATCTCTGTGTGTAATGATCCACAGCTTTAAAGTCTCCGGCTGCCCATACATGAGCTCTAGAAGTATGGGGGTTGCCCGCCCCGTACTGCATGTATGGGAGCAGCTGCCTGTAACGCCTGCATACCAGCCATTGTTCAGGAGTGAGCAAGGCTTCTTACCTGGAACTTGAGCTGCTCCCTGACGGTGAGCATGCCAATGAACAGGTCGTCTTGCTGGACGTAGGCGGAGCGGCTGGTGAGGGCATCAGGATCAACAGCTCTGCCGTTGACGTAGAGGTCGCCGGTGACGCGCAGCTTGTCGTTGTTGCGGTGAGTGAGGACGTTGAGGAGCGTCGTCTTGCCGGCCCCGGACGCCCCCATGATGGCCAGCAGCTCCCCGGGGCGGCAGATCCCAGTCACTGCAACAAATAAGTTATGTGTATCAAACAAATTACCGGCAAATTCCAATTCATTGCTTCAGACAGAATATCACATTTGAAAAAAAAGGAAAGCGCAAACACTCTAGAAAGCTTGCTGCTTTCTATGGTTTATAATGTCACCGTAAACAGGAAATCTGTGATAGAGACGGACAGGAGGCACTGAACTATAGACCAGTGGCCGTCACTTGCAGCACCACGTGCGACCTGGGCGTGGCAACAAGGGCAGTCCGCCAGACACTCTGAGAGAGGAGGAGGAGGAGAGCTAGACTGGAGAGATGTTACCACCAGAGCCACACATGAGGCTAAACTGGCACCTATCCTGTTCCTGGTCTACGCAAATGATCTTTCAGATGGAATAGTGTTTCATTCCTCTCAGTGTTTGCTGATGCTGCCCAAATTATGCACTGAGAAGTGAAGTGATGGAGGAAGAGTCTATACCTAGTTTGAAAAGTAGATATAACAGAACCCATTATGCCCGGAAACCTGTACGCCACCTAACACTTCAATCAAAGAAGGTCGAGAGATTGATTGTTGCCGCCGAAGGCAGCTAGTTTATTGTGCACCCCATACTCCTCCTGTGACCGGTAGCGCAAAAGCATTACAGAGGGCACAAAAGGTCTTTATCAGACCTCATCTTAGATTATTATATAAACAATTTCATCTATCCTTCACACCTTATAGTTACAATGTCAGCTAGTTACAGAGAAAGTCCTATTTCAAGAGCTATATATTTACAGTAAGTCATCATACATTAATGGTAGGTCTTATCGCTAATACATAATAGTTTGACCAATGGGGATATTACAGAGTCATAGGGGAGCTTCTGTTTATTATTAGTCCTCACAATACACTACTTGTTTCTGAATCTCATATGTCGTTCATCTACTGGAAGCGAAATGTGGATTCAGTGCAAGGATTTCAGGTAATTTATCCATGGTAATAAGATAGGTTGCCATATCATACAGAGTGAACTTAGACCTATCTCTAAATGGCTCAATTTTAATACAATCCAAGATATAGTGTTCGAGTGTGTGTCCCTGTCTATGTCCACACACTTTACACTTTACTTCATCTAGATCCCTATACAAGCCGAACTGCCAGAGGTACTTGTAGCCAAGTCTTATACGAGCTGTGACAACATCTGTTAGTCTACTGACTGTGTTACTTGCCCCATACACATGTTTTACTTCACACATTTCATTGTGATGAACAATGGACCTGCTAGTTCCAGTTTGCGCTGTTCTACTTTCTTCAAATCCATCCAGGAGTTCTCGACTAATGACACTTTTAAGGGACCTATTTGATAACTCAAGATTCCGTTCAATACTGTCTTTATTTACTGCAGCCTTAGCAAGGGCGTCAACTTTGTCATGTTCCTGCATGCCAATGTGAGAAGGAATCCACAACATTTTATATTTACCCTCTTGCTAAGTATTCTTATATATCTACGTCTAGGACAAAAAAACAATACTCCCCCCCCCCTCCGAGAAGCACAATAAGTAAGCGGAGTAGAGATTGTCTACTCACTTGCTCCCTTAACTTACCATTTTTAAGAATGTGTTTCTCAGTGGACTCCTTCTTCTTTCTTCTGAAGAAGCCGGAGCTAGCGGCGGCGTCTGGATTGGAGTAGACGTTGACGTTGTTCCAGGAGTAGGTGATCTGGTCCTCCGCCGCCCCCACCACCGCCCCCGACGAGTCACTCGCACTCTGTGGAGGCAAAGGAGAAACACCGTCTTGAGTTGTTCCTTGGCAGGAAACATCTACTAGTACCTTACATGTGAGACGACACTGGTTCCGGCCCAGACGAGTTTTGATCTTGGTGCTGCTGCTTATCTTACTTGGCAACGATGTTGTTGTTGTTGATGTTTTGCACGCAGCTTCTTTGTTGACGTTACTGTGTGTGTTGATGGCTGTTGACTGCTGACTGGATATAAGGCTTACGTCTAGAAACTTACTTGTAAGAATTAGTTAACCTTTAATGTGCGACTTACGATATATGACGAATAAGGACAAGTAAGGTAACTGTGGCTGTGGTCTATATATATATATATATATATATATATATATATATATATATATATATATATATATATATATATATATATATATATATATATATATATAACATATATATATGTCGTACCTAGTAGCCAGAATGCCCTTCTCGGCCTAATATGCAAGACTCGATTTGCCTAATAGGCCGAGTGATTTTCTTTATTTTCAATAGATTGTTTCCAATTGCTTGATTTGAATCATTATTGTTATAATATCTTTAGAAAAATAAATTAATGACTTAGTTATGGTAATTTAAGTTAGTTTAAGATAGGTTAGGTAGGGTTGGTTAGGTTCGGTCAAATATCAACATTTGTTTTAACTCAAATTAAACAAAATGAACTCATACATTATGAAATGGATAGCTTTATCATTCCATAAGAAAAAAATAGAAGAAAATATATAAATTCAGGAAAACTTGTCTTATTAGGCAAATCGGGCATTGCATAGCAGGCCGAGTACTGCGTTCTGGCTACTAGGTACAACATATATATATATATATATATATATATATATATATATATATATATATATATATATATATATATATATATATATATATATATATATATATATATATATATACTTGAGCAGTACGCGTTCCTTGTAATGTATTTAGTTAAATTTGGCAGCATTGCTAACGTTGTTGATCTTATAATTTAAGCTTACTATGTCTCTTCAGTAATTTCTTAGTATCAATATTAAGAAGCACAGTCATATTGCCGACATTTATAGTAAAGAAACTCTAGTAATTATTGATGGATTTATTTTCTTAAGCATTTCGTTCCTGTGTAAAACATCGTGAGGTAAAGAATGAACACATGAGGTGCACTGCTCAGTGTAATACACATATTTGACAGCCCATCCTCCGAATAGACAGTACGTTTTAATCCTAAGTGTAATAAGTACAATACTGACTACAGGCTTAGTACATAAATACACGTAATCGCTAGATCACACCAAAATATTGTGAATATTAGAGTTTACCTGAAAAGCTGAATAGAAAACCACGAACTAACCTAACCTTCTAAGTGTATGAGGACAAGCATTTTATGGCTTCTTAATTACAATTAGTATTTAACCTATAGCTATATTGATATTACAGTTTTATTATAACTAATAAAACAAAACTAAAATCTTTCAATAAATTATTAAGTAACTCAGGATATTTTCAAATTTTGTATAAAATTTCTATTGTTTAATAAAACTGAAAAAGAAATTTTTTATATAAAAAACTTGTGTACATGGAATTGAACATGAAAATTTCTTCGTAAAATTTTGAGTGTCAACAGAAAACGAGGAGAACATATGGGAAGGTATATGTAAAAGGACAAGTAAGTGTATTTATGTACTATACCTGATAGTCAGGAAATGTACTTACTACGTTTAGTATTAAAACTGTCTATTCGGAGGATGAGTTGCATATGAAGGGATGGAAGTAGTATGGGGGGGGGGGGGGGGCGATGGGGCAGTTTAACTTAAGGGAGATAGTGTCACACATTGAGTATGGAATCATCTTGAGGTTATCTTGAGATGATTTCGGTGCTTAGCGTCCCTGCGGCCCGGTCCTCGACTAGGCCTTCTTTCTGTTACACATCCCCAAGAAACAGCCTATAGCAGCTGTCTAACTCCCAGGTACCCATATACTGCTAGATGAACAGAAGCATCAGGATGAAAGAAACTCTGCCCATTTGTTTCCACCTCTGTCCGGGATCGAATCCAGACGGCATCGTGTCAGACTTCGATAGTCTCAACGGGCGGGGAAAACCTCGCTAGCGATGCCGTAATTATCTGGCATCTATCGGGCGAAATCTAGGCCTGAGTGTCGGCAAGGAAGCCAAGTTTGTATATATCAGGTGGATTTTTTTTTTTTTTTGTATATAAGTTTGGCTTCTTGAGATTTGCAATCTTCTTTGGTCAGTGGTAGATTCCAGGAGTATTACCTCCTAACATGTTGCTAGTGAGGGTCGTGTTGTCCTCACTTTGCGTATGGTTTCTCGGGGCAGCAGCCTGTAGGTGGCAGGTCGGTCTTCTCGAAAGCTTTGCGGAGGTCATACCAGTATTGGTAGTTCCCAGGTGACACCCTTCACTGGGGGCGAGTAACCTGGTATACCTCGTGTGGTTTTTGGAGAGAGTTGGATTGTTTATTGGGGCTGTTCTTGAGTGTTAATATGTGCTGCTCCTGATATTGTACCCCTGCTGTTGCTCCTGATATTGTACCTTGGCTACACTTGGCTACGGCTGACCCAGGGGAAACAAGCTAGTTATGACAATAGAGTATAGTTAGCGGACCACACTTACCAGTTTCGTTGAGGAGAGGTGTTTGGGCAGCATCTTTGGGTTTGTGAAGTCAAAATGGGGCGGTGCCAGAGTGCCAGACACCTGAGTGCCAGGAGCCACAACCTGCAGCAGCGCACTTCTTCATAAGACTAGTCCAAGCCCTCAGCCTCAGCCCCCCCTCCCCCCACTCTCTCTCTCTCTCTCTGTCTCTCTCTGCACCCCCCCCTCACTTACTTCTACCCCCCCCCATCCCTTCCATCACCCCCCCATCCCTTCCATCACCCCCCCCCATCCCTTTTGCTAAGACCCCCAGTCTAGCCTCCTGTCCCAACGTCCGAGGGCTAGACTAGGGCTAGAGGATTGGCTCAGTCTGTTGAACTCTGTTGAACTCAGAACTGAATCTGTTGAATGTTGAACTTTGCCTCCCCTCTGTTGAAGCCCACCTCCCCTCAGTTGAACCCCCACCTCCCCTCTGTTGAAGCCCACCTCCCCTCAGTTGAACCCCTACCTCCCCTCTGTTGAAACCCACCTCTCCTCTGTTGAAACCCACCTCCCCTCTGTTGTACCCCACCTCCCCTCTGTTGAAACCCACCTCCCCTCTGTTGAACCCCTACCTCCCCTCTGTTGAAACCCACCTCCCCTCAGTTGAACCCCTACCTCCCCTCTGTTGAAACCCACCTCCCCTCTGTTGAACCCCCACCTCCCCTCTGTTGAACCCCTACCTCCCCTCTGTTGAAGCCCACCTCCCCTCTGTTGAAACCCACCTCCCCTCTGTTGAACCCCCACCTCCCCTCTGTTGAAGCCCACCTCCCCTCTGTTGAAACCCACCTCCCCTCTGTTGAACCCCCACCTCCCCTCTGTTGAACCCCTACCTCCCCTCTGTTGAAGCCCACCTCCCCTCTATTGAAACCCACCTCCCCTCTGTTGAAACCCACCTCCCCTCTGTTGAAACCCACCTCCCCTCTGTTGAAACCCACCTCCCCTCTGTTGAAGCCCACCTCCCCTCTGTTGAAACCCACCTCCCCTCTGTTGAAACCCACCTCCCCTCTGTTGAAACCCACCTCCCCTCTGTTGAACCCCACCTCCCCTCTGTTGAACCCCACCTCCCCTCTGTTGTACCCCACCTCCCCTCTGTTGAACCCCACCTCCCCTCTGTTGAACCAGAGGGGATTTTGGAGGTGTTGGCTGACCTGTTGGTGTCATGGGGTGGGAGGGGGGAGGGGAGGGGGGAGGGGAGGGGGGAGGGGAGGGGGGACCCAGGTCACATGGGGATGACGCTGCTACAATAGTATTGTTGATGGAGCCTCTTGGGCGCCACTATGTCACGCTCCGTTGTGGTGGTGGTGGTGGTGGTGGAGGTGGGGGGGGGGGGTGGTGTTGGGGGTGATGGAAGGGGTGGGGTGGGGTGGTGGTGGGGGGTGGTGGAGTGATGGTGGTGGTGGTGGTGGAGGTGGTGGAGGTGGCTTCCACAACTTCTTTCAGTTCATTCCACTTGCAGACCCCCCGCCGCCCCCGCCCCCCCCACACACACAGGGTACGAGTATCTCCTAACATTCCTTCGGCTTAACTGTTTCCAGCTTCCACCTGTGTCCTCTTGTCCTACTGTCCCTCAGCGTGAAGAACTGGGCTGGCCTTGTCCAGTCTATTGTCCTCATTATCTTGTATGTCGTGATCATATCCCCTCTGTTCCTTTTATCCTCCAGGGTCGTGGGATATAGTTCCACTAGCCTGTCCTCGTAGCTCAACCCTCTTACCTCTGGCACCAGTCTTGTCGCAAAGTTTTGGATTTTGTTCACTTTTGGCTTTATGCTTCACAAGGTGCGGGTTCCATGCCGGTGCTGCATGTTCCAGTGTTGGTCTAATAAATGGTGTGTAGGTTGTCATGAAGGAGTCCTGATTTAGGTTTGTAAACGCTGTTCATACATTTGCCAGCGTCTCATATGCTGCCGATGTTATCTTGTTTATGTGTTCCTCTAGCTGGTGTTGACATCCACTCCCAGAGCTTGTCTCTTTCTTGTCGCTGCCTTCCCCCTTTGATGTTGATGCCTTTTGGTCTCCTCTCTCCTTTTTCCAGCTTCATTCCCTTACGTTTGTTGGGATTGAATTCTAGTAACCATTTGTGTGACCACTCCTGACCACTTTTTTTTTTAGATATATACAAGAGTTGTTACATTCTTGTACAGCCACTAGTACGCGTAGCGTTTCGGGCAGGTCCCTGGAATACGATCCCCTGCCGCGAAGAATAGTTTTTTCATCCAAGTACACATTTTACTGTTGCGTTAAACAGAGGCTTCAGTTAAGGAATTGCGCCCAGTAAATCCTCCCCGGCCAGGATACGAACCCATGACATAGCGCTCGCGGAACGCCAGGCGAGT